AGAAGAAGCAGGTGATTTGCAAATGATTATTTAATGGTGTATTCTTTGGTGCAATTTCAATGTATGGTAATTTGAATTTATGGAATTTGTTAACTGGAGGTTTCATCTTTCTAAAGTTCTGTGATTGGGAAATATGCCAGTTGTGGTTCAGTGACTGTGTTCATGGAATGCCCCTCTGTTCTCAACCAAGTGTCGTTTGTGTGGGTGGAAGATTTTAATAGAAAATTGTCAAAACTGTCTTTTCCCTGGATGTAAAGAAGTCTCTCTGAGGACGTATATGAGAGGTAGTGACTTGAGCGCGCCTCCTGTTCCTCAGGCGCCCCTCCCCGCTGTCTGGGGTGCTCAGCGCCGCTCATTCCTCTCCTTTCCTTGCCTGCATTGGAGGTGTCTTCTGCCTTTGTGTAATATGCTTCATGTGTAATTATCTCCTAGTTTCATTGAAGATAGAATTTGTATTTGTTTATTGTTTCCTTTATGTTTGGGGGATGGTTTTAGGGAGCCTGGATGGTGGTGGAAATGTTTTTATTCTATTAGGAGTATTGTGATTGAGAGTAACATGAGTGACTTGACTTAGATGGGATGTTCAGGAAAGATACATGTAGAGAAATAATAAGCTAAGAAATAACAAATGAGTTTAGCCTTAAGATTTCAAGGTAGGAAAAAAACCACGAGTGAAAGCCCGTAAACTAGGAAGCTGTGTACACTGGGCCAATTAGAAAAAGGCCAGTGAGGGTGAAAGGAAGATGGTTGAGATAGAAGGCGAGGCCAGGTCACCTAGGGACTGTAAACAACATTCGCTAAATAAGCAGAAAACCTTGTGTTGGACACTGATAAACTCTGGAAGACACACTCTGTCCTTCAGAAGCTTGTAGTCTAGTTGGGGAGATAATCCATTTATATTAACATTAGAAAGTTTATATCATGTGACACCGATACGTGATCTGTAGGGAGTTTTTGCTAATAGAAATGGGGGAAGGAAGACTCACTTTTGCTTGGGGTTCTTGTGGAGGGGGTCTCGAGGGAGATGGAATTTGATCTGAGCTTTTCCCACATGAGTAGGGCTTGAACAAATAGAGTTGTCAGAGGGAGTGGCTTTACCCGAATGCAGGCTTGTGGGATGCAGGGAGGAGGGACCTTCTAAGGGAGTTGCGTGGGAGGTGATGCTCGACCTGTAGCTCTGATGTGCGGGCGCTCTGCACCGTGGCCCTGATAGGAATGCTGAAATATAACTTGTCGAATGCCTGATGTTTGCTTTCTCATTGTAAACACAGAGTTGTGCAAATAATTCTCATTCCTTCTTCAACATCCTCAGCAGATGCTTTCCTCTTCTCTCTTCAGATAACTCCACTAATGGTGAGCTGGCTGTTTAACCCAGTGCTAATTATTCTTCGGTTAAAGAGCTCTCCCTTTTTTTGTTTTTAACGTTCTCCTTAGATCCTACCTGAGGTGGCATCCTGTCGTCTTTTAGTCTTCCCTGGTCCAGGCTATGTATTTCTGTTCTTTGATTTATTCTTTCACTGGTATCATTTTTTAAACCCCTCTACATCCAAATACTATTCTCCAGAAAACTTTATCAATGATGATTTTAAAGTTTATTCTTCACAATTGGTTGTAGTATTCCAGATTTTGAGGAAACAATGACTAGGGCTTTTAATTGTCCATCTTAACATTAGCCAGATAAGCAGAGATTGATAAGCTTCCTCTATGAATCTAGTCAGTGTCTGAATTTTTGTCAGGTCAGCTTTATTCTTGACGTGGAAAAGACTGACAGTGGGGGAGGGGCAACAAAGAAAAACGATTGATCGTCACACAGATTGTTGTTTGGTTGCTGGTACTGCCAGTTTAAGTCTCGAAAGGAAACAGTATCATTACGTAGTATGGCCATATTAGAATAAACTCTTTGTGATGTACACAGCCATTATAGAGTGGATTGGAGAGGGATCTTAGCAAAACAGATTCCAGATGTCGCAATTTATGAAAGTTTCAGAAACTTAAATCTTTAAAATTAATAAAAAAAAATAAATAAAAAATAAATAAAATTAATAGAGTCGATGAGATCTGGATGTCATGTTTGATTTTGGTAGTTGATAGCAGTTATTGATTTGTAACTCATCGTTCTGGTATAGCTTGTTTTACACATAACACAGTACTGTGTGGCTTATTTTTGGACTCAAAATTTATTTTTGTCATGGTCAGAAGTTTTAACAAAAATTTCCAAATTTATATAAAATCATCACTAAGTTTCTTCTTCTACTGTGGCAGTCTAAGATTAGGACTATAATTCAGTTTAATTTTATGGTGTACTTTTTTATTAAAAAGAGAAGTGGGCATAAGCCCCTAACCCAGGCCAGTAAAAAGAAGGAGGTGAGTGGCTTATTCATAGAAACAGTTCTATCCAAAATATATAATCAAATCATTTGCCGTTTCCCGAGCCACCCTCTTTCTAAAAACCATATCTGTGTATGTTGCTTCACCTGGGCTGTTAACATCTTAGTGACTAGACTGCATTTGGGGAACAGTAATTGTATGCAAGATTCATCAGTGGACACTGAGAAAAGCTACAGTGGGAAAACTAGTAATGTTACAGTGGAAAGGTGGATACAACTATAACATGATCAGAGTTACCATCATCAGTAGTGAAATCTGGATATCATCATGTACCTTCTGGTATTTTTTAAAAATTGAAATGTTGATTTATAGTATTTCAGGTGTACAGCCAAGTGATTCTTTTCCATTATAGGCTATTAACAAGATACTGAATATAGTTCCCTGTACTGTACAGTAGGACCTTGTTGTTTATTTTGTATACAGTAGTGTATATTTGTTGGAGACGGGAGTGGCAACCCACTGCAGTATTCTTGCCTGGAGAATGCCATGGACAGAGTCGTCTGGTGGTCCATAGTCCATAGGGTTGCATAGAGTCGGACACAACTGAAGCGATTTAGCAGTGTTTATTTGTTAATCCCAGATTTCCTATTTGTATACCCCTCTTCACTTTTGGTAACCACAGTTTGTTATCTGTGCCTGTGAGTCTATTTCTGTTTTGTAAATACATTCATTTGTGTCATTTTTAAACATTCCACATACTAGTGATACCATGTGATATTTGTCTTTCTCTTTCTGACTTGGTTCACTTAGTGTGAGAGTCTTCAGGCCTATCCATGTTGCTGCACATGGCATTATTTAGTTTTTTTTTTTTGGATGGCTGAGTAATATGCCAGTGTATATATGTACCACATCGTCTTTATCCATTCATCTGTTGATGGACATTTAGGTTGCTTCCATATGTTGGCTGTTGGAAATAGTGCTGCTGGGAACACTGAAGTGCATGTATCTTTTCAAATTAGAGTTTTTTGTCGTGTCTGGTTATATGATCAGGAGTGGGATTGCTGGATCCTATTTTAGTTTTTTAGGGAACCTCCGTACTGTCCTCCATAGTGATGACCTTCTGTTATTGATGTACTTAGAAGGGCTTCTGTGGTGCCTGCCACAATGCCTAACCTGAATTTAGTCTGGAGGAAGCATTAGACAGACCTGTAGTGAGCACATTCTACAGAATAACTGCCTAGTACCCTTCAGGTGTCAGGGTTATGAGAGACACACCACCCCCAGTTGAAGGAGGCATGGCAACTCCATGAATGTGTGATCCCGAACCAGAAAAAGGACATCAGTGAGGGCAGTTGAGAAGAAATTTATATAAGGCTTGCTCTAGATTATTTCATAAATCTTGTGTTGATGGTTAATTACCTGCTTTTGATCACTAACTGCAGTTTTAATAAGATATTATCATTTGGGTTATAGGGTGAAGAGTACACAGGAGTTCTTTGTACTATTTTTGGAACTTTTNGTACACAGGAGTTCTTTGTACTGTTTTTGGAACTTTTTGTAAGTGTGAAAGTTCAAAATGAGTTTAACAACAACAGAAACTCAGAAATTCAGACTCTCATCCTTCTACTTTATGCGATCTCTTCTGGTCAAGGGACTGGTTTTCTTTGCTTCCTCTAAATCTCCACTGTGATCTGGATAGCTGAGGTTTCCAAATAAGGGATTTTGAAGTAGTGAGGCATTGCCTTATCGGATTGCAGCTACAAGTTGAAAGGTTTTGTTTAATTAATTAATTTACTTATTTATTTTTGTACAGAGCTGTAATTACATCTTTGGGTTTCCAGTGACTCCAGGTTATTTGAGCATTGCTCTTGTAGCCACCAGGAGCCATAGCTGGAAACTTAGCTCTGTAATTAATTTACTGGTTTGTTTTCTCCAGAGGACATTCCAACCCAGGGATGGAACCTGAGTCTCCTGCATCTTCCACGGTGGCAGCTGGGTTCTTTACCACTGAGCCACCAGGGAAGCCCTTCTCTGAGTTTAACTGTCTCAGAATTACACTGGATTAAGTTATATTCTTATACTCTGAGGCCATGTAAGCCAGTGGCCTTTTCAGAGGAAGGGAGTTTGGAGGCACCTGAGTCAGCATAGAGGAATAAGTAATAAGTGAGTAATTCAGTTAGTAGTCACTCACTAGCAAAAAATTAGTTGTTCCTTTAACCTTTTTTTCCTTAGAACAGAACTTTTTTTGTAGAAGGTCCTCTATAGAGAGAGAAAGCTGCTGCTTTATCAGAGCAAAGGAAACTACTTGGAAGTGAAATCAGATGCTAAGAAGAATATTTTTATATTTACAAATCATAGACAAGGATAAGCAAAATGTAGAAGGCAGAAATATTAGGACTTTAAAAATTATCTAGTGCTCAGACAATCTTTCTTCTACCTGAAAGATACAAGTTAGTTCTCTATAATTAGCATTCTATCTTACTAGTTAGTAGACATTAATTATCCTTTCTTTCAAGTTGCTGTTTGATTTCAAAGTTAATATTTTGTGTTCTTAATAAATATCATGTAAATATTTATTATCATTTTACCCTTCAAAAGGCACCTTCTAACCAAAAAATATCTTTAAACTCTTTTCTTTCATGTCAATGATGACACCTCTTTTGGGAACTCAGAAGCCAACCAAAGGTAAGAGATTTGGTTTATTATGCTTGTTCAAGTTGTATGTGTGTATTTTTTTGTACTGGTATTTTCTTCTGAAAAATAAAAATACTCTCACTTTTAAAATAAAAAAAAATAATGCAAGCCGTCAGCCTATTCATAAATCCAAAGCCATTTATTGGCGTAAGAAGCACTGGAGGTTTATGGAAAAGCTGTTTTTGTACTTTGACCAACTCTGGCCAGTCTCCTGGCAACTACAACACAGATTCCTTTTGCACCCTGATGGTCACCACAGATTGGCTGGGAACTTCTCGTTCCAAGCTGCGGTCAGAACCAGTACTAGCAGACTCACCCATGGTGCTCCTGGGACAGCCGGGGACACGGTCTCAGGCCAACAGAAACCTGCCCTGGCCCACAGCTTCCTCAGGGAAATGTGCTTTCATCCTAACTTTGAGCCCAGATTCTCATGAAACTTTGGTTCCTGTGTCTCTTAGGAATACAGTTGTACCAGAGTAGGGACAAGGACTGTGTTTTGTATTGATCATTCTTGGGAACTTTCCAGGAAATTTATATTTTTATCTACCTAATTGGAGTTTTGTTTTAGAATCTGTGGTGAAACAGTAATTTCCTTCAATATTACTTTTGCTGAAGTATGTATAGACTTGGCTATTGGGACTCTGAATGAATAAACAAAAAAGTTGAATATGGCACTGACTTCTTTACACATAATAGAACTAATTTGATCAGTTTTATCTTTTGTGTGAAAAGATGGCTGGATTATCTTTGTTTTCTTATTTTCTGATGGTCCTCCAGTTTCTCATCTGTAAAACTGGAATGATAATAGCACCTTTCAAAGTTACTGTGAAGATTCAGTGAAGTAGCTTGCAGCATATTGGGTTGGCCCAAAGAGCCTTTGGGTTCCCAAAGGAACTTTTGAGCCAACCCGATACCTGACCTCACATAGACATCTCATATATGCTGGTTCTGTTCTTACGTCCAACTGGGTTTATAACTGGGCCTTCTGAAATTGATGAGATTCTGCTTTGCTTATAAAGACCTACAAAAATGTGGTGGCATATGCCAGTCGCCTCTGCTGGTGTTTCCCAAGTCTTTTTGTTGGGACGTTTCCCCATATCTCTCATCCCAGAAAAATTATTTTCTATTATACGTGCTAGTCACACAATAGTCATAACAATATTGGCTGTTACTCTAAAATCTGTTAGACAAGGGTCACTCATTTGCTGCTTTCCTTGGCATTTTAGTGTTCAGACCTGAAATCTTTCCATACAAATGAATATTAAATTTAAAAGAAAATCTTATGCGAAAAGGCACAAGATATCCAAACAATTGAAGGGAAGCATTTCCATGCACCGTTTTCTTTGAAGTTGCAGGTCTGACTTGCCTTTTTGATCCTCTGAAAGACCAGTTATTCCTGTGGTTGTGGAGTGAACATCATTGATTTTATGGATTAACATGGAAGTGTCTAGGGCTGAAGGGGCATGTCTGTAACTTACCCTCAGGGGTGTGTGTGTGTGTGTGTGTGTGTGTCTGAACAGGAGGGGAGAGAAGGAGGGGGACGATGACATGGCAGTTGTGACTGTGTTAACAGTTGGTGAGCTCAGGTGCGTGGAGCTCTTTATGCCTTTCTTACAGCTTTCCTCTAAGTTTGTTGTTGTCGTTTAGTCTCTAAGTCGTGTCCAGCTTTTCTGTGATCCCATGAACTGCAGCCCACCAGGCTCCTCTGTCCATGGAATTCTCCAGGCAAGAATACTGGAGTGGGTTGCCATTTCCTCCTCCAGAGGACATTCCAACCCAGGGATGGAACCTGAGTCTCCTGCATCTTCCACGGTGGCAGCTGGGTTCTTTACCACTGAGCCACCAGGGAAGCCCTTCTCTGAGTTTAACTGTCTCAGAATTACACTGGATTAAGTTATATTCTTATACTCTGAGGCCATGTAAGCCAGTGGCCTTTTCAGAGGAAGGGAGTTTGGAGGCACCTGAGTCAGCATAGAGGAATAAGTAATAAGTGAGTAATTCAGTTAGTAGTCACTCACTAGCAAAAAATTAGTTGTTCCTTTAACCTTTTTTTCCTTAGAACAGAACTTTTTTTGTAGAAGGTCCTCTATAGAGAGAGAAAGCTGCTGCTTTATCAGAGCAAAGGAAACTACTTGGAAGTGAAATCAGATGCTAAGAAGAATATTTTTATATTTACAAATCATAGACAAGGATAAGCAAAATGTAGAAGGCAGAAATATTAGGACTTTAAAAATTATCTAGTGCTCAATCTTTCTTCTACCTGAAAGATACAAGTTAGTTCTCTATAATTAGCATTCTATCTTACTAGTTAGTAGACATTAATTATCCTTTCTTTCAAGTTGCTATTTGATTTCAAAGTTAATATTTTGTGTTCTTAATAAATATCATGTAAATATTTATTATCATTTTACCCTTCAAAAGGCACCTTCTAACCAAAAAATATCTTTAAACTCTTTTCTTTCATGTCAATGATGACACCTCTTTTGGGAACTCAGAAGCCAACCAAAGGTAAGAGATTTGGTTTATTATGCTTGTTCAAGTTGTATGTGTGTATTTTTTTGTACTGGTATTTTCTTCTGAAAAATAAAAATACTCTCACTTTTAAAATAAAAAAAAATAATGCAAGCCGTCAGCCTATTCATAAATCCAAAGCCATTTATTGGCGTAAGAAGCACTGGAGGTTTATGGAAAAGCTGTTTTTGTACTTTGACCAACTCTGGCCAGTCTCCTGGCAACTACAACACAGATTCCTTTTGCACCCTGATGGTCACCACAGATTGGCTGGGAACTTCTCGTTCCAAGCTGCGGTCAGAACCAGTACTAGCAGACTCACCCATGGTGCTCCTGGGACAGCCGGGGACACGGTCTCAGGCCAACAGAAACCTGCCCTGGCCCACAGCTTCCTCAGGGAAATGTGCTTTCATCCTAACTTTGAGCCCAGATTCTCATGAAACTTTGGTTCCTGTGTCTCTTAGGAATACAGTTGTACCAGAGTAGGGACAAGGACTGTGTTTTGTATTGATCATTCTTGGGAACTTTCCAGGAAATTTATATTTTTATCTACCTAATTGGAGTTTTGTTTTAGAATCTGTGGTGAAACAGTAATTTCCTTCAATATTACTTTTGCTGAAGTATGTATAGACTTGGCTATTGGGACTCTGAATGAATAAACAAAAAAGTTGAATATGGCACTGACTTCTTTACACATAATAGAACTAATTTGATCAGTTTTATCTTTTGTGTGAAAAGATGGCTGGATTATCTTTGTTTTCTTATTTTCTGATGGGGCAGAGGCTGGCTATTGCAGTAATGATGTGAAGAAACATTACATGACTGTTTTAAAAATATTCATGTTTTATTTAATTCAACTCTGTCTTACCATTTAGAGAAAATCTGTTAATGTCAAAGATGTGGAAGGGCCAACACTACATTCTTAGCAGTGGTTCCCTCTAAGGAGAAATATGCTTGGTGAATGGGAGTCCTTTATTCTTTATGCTTCTGTTATTTGCCTTGCTATAATCAATGTGTGTTTCTTCTCTGTTACTTGAAAAGAAATTTTTTTAAAAAATAAGGACAAATATTTACTTAGGGGAAAAAAGAGGGGCCTGTTTGCTTTAGGAAATTCATGGCTGGAAGATACCTGTAATAATTTACAAAACAGCTGAACTTTAAAGAGGACCATTCAGTGTTGTTAGTAAACAAGACCTNAAACATCCCACCCTCGCCTTCTCCCACAGAGTCCAAAAGTCTGTTCTGTACATCTGTGTCTCTTTTTCTGTTTTGCATATAGGGTTATCATTTCTACTTGAATTAAGAATAAGACTTGTTAAAGAAATCCCTAAATTTGAAAAAAGAAAAGAAAAACCTGTAGTAATAGGGAGAAGAGAGCAACGTAGAGCCTGATCTCTGAGAAGTGCACTCAGATGGATGGTTAAGTGTGAGCTAAGCTTATAAGCAAGCAAAGACTTGGGATGGTCTCTACTTAACCTTGGTAAGAGCAGAATAAAAAAAGTGATAAGACATGAGAGCTGAAAGCTGGAGCAGAAGAAACTTAATCTGAGCTTTACACTGTATTTAATCTCATCCTGCTGACAGAGGTTCTTTGAAACGCAACTCCCACCGGAAGTTTTGATCCACGGTCCTTTGGGACCATCTTCCTTCTTCTTTCTTTCCTCTGTCTGTTGTTGTTCAGTTGCTAAATCGTCTCTGACTCTGTGACCCCATGGACTGCAGCATGCCAGGTTTCTCTGTCCTCCACTGTCTCCCAGGGTTTGCTCAGACTTGTTTCGATTGAATCGGTGATGGCATCCAACCATCTCACTTCTCCTGCCCTCAGTCTTTCCCAGCATCAAGGTCTTTTCCAGTGAGTCAGCTCATCTCATCAGGTGGCCAAAGTATTGGAGCTTCAGCTTCAGCATCAGTCCTTCCAGTGAATAGTCAGGGTTGATTTCCTTTAGGATTGACAAGTTTATCTCCTTGCAGTCCAAGGGACTCTCAAGAATCTTTTCCAGCACCACAGTTTGAAAGCATCAGTTCTTCGGTGCTCTGCCTTCTTTATGGTCCAACTCTCACATCCATACATGACCACTGGAAAAACCATTGCTTTGACTATACGGACCTTTGTTGGCAAAGTGATGTCTCTGTGTTTTAATATGCTGGGTTTGTCATAGCTTTTCTTCCAAGGAGGAAGCATCTTTTGATTTTATGGCTGCAGTCACCATCTGCAGTGATTTTGGAGCCCAAGAAAATAGAAACTGTCACTGTTTCCACTTTTTCCCCATCTATTTGCCATGAGGTCATGGGATCGGATGCCATGATCTTAGTTTTTTTATATGTTGAGTTTTTAAGCCAGCTTTTTCACTCTCCTCTTTCACCCTTATCAAGAAACTCTTTAGTTCCTCTTCATTTTCTGTCAGTGGGGTGGTATCATCTATATCTGAGCTTGTTGATTTTTCTCCTGGCAATCTTGATTCCAGCTTGTGCTTCATCCAGCCTGGCATTTCACATGATGTACTCTACATATAAGTTAAATTAGCAGGCTGACAATATACAGCCTTGATGTACTCCTCTCCCTGTTGGGGAATTGCTAACATAGGGAGCCTCAACTGCTGATAGACACATGGTTAGCTCTGGGGAAGTGTTGAGGATTAGTAATGTATGACACAGTGCTGAGGCTGGGTGGTAGTTGCTGGGCTCCAGGCCTCCCACCTCTTTGGGGGTGTTGTCAGATACTGAACTTCCGTAACCCTTTTTATCCTTGCTTCGGCATCACTGTCCCACCCCAGGGAACAAATGTCTGGTGTCACTGTTTTGCACAGATGTGGGTGTTCTGATCCTTCCTTGCACTAAAGGTGTTTCTAGCCAGTCATACAGTTGGTTGCCCCCGGGGCCCCGACCACTCATGCCCCTGGCATCCTCCCGGGGCTGCTCTCAGCTTTGCAGCCGTCTCCTCCTGCAGCTGTTTGCCCCGTGCTCTTCCATGGTCCTCCCACTCTACCCACCATCCGTCTCCTTGCAGCTGTTTCTCAGGGTTTCTCAATTCCTGGTCCACGTATCGACGAGCAATCTAACTTTCAAAAACTTGCTCTCCTTGCCTCCTTTCTTTCCCTTTTTGGCTCTTTCCCTCACTCCCTCCATCATTTTGAATTAATTTCAGGTGGAGGTGGATATAGGCATGCATACTTCATTTACCAACCTAATCTAATTTTCTTATTTAAAAAACTTAACTCTTAGATTTAGGGTCCAGACAGCCTTGTGAGTTTACACAGAAACATTCTTCTGCCAACTCCAAACTCAGAGCAGGGACAGGTAACATATTTAAAAATATTAAAAATCATTTCCTTGTATTCAAAAACAACATATGTCACTTCGAGGGCTTGCAGAAGCCTGGGGCTGAATTAGTGTGTTTACTGGGCCTTGAGATCCGACCCAGGTCCTCAGAGGTGCAGCCCTTGCAGACTAGAGGGGACCCTGATGTGGTTAAGGACCTGAGAAATTCATCCATGGGAAAAACTGATTTGGGTGAGGCTCCATCATGAAAGAAGGCTTAAAAAAGCCTTTTTGGCCACCAACACTGAGCTAATTGGGCTTCCCTGGTGGTGCAGATGGTAAAGAATCTGTCTGCAATGCAAGAGACCCGGGGTTTGATCTCTGAGTTGGGAAGATCTGGGGAAGGGAATGGCAACCCACTGCAGTATTCCTCCCTGGAGAATTCCATGGACAGAGGAGCCTGGCGGGCTACAGTCCATGGGTCACAGAGTCGGACACGACCGAGCATGTACACATATGCATACTGAGCTAATTTCTGTATGAATAGGAGGGAACAGAGACACTGGGCTTTGGAAAGACCCAGACCTGGGCTTCAGCAGCTAGGAGTGGCAGTGTAAAGGTGGCCAAAGGAAGAGGAACGAGGCAGGCAATCACGTAAACCATAAAACAAGCTCCCAATTCAGATGTGCTTGCAAACTGACCTATAAAGCCAAGAGGAAAACTGTCATCAGGAAGTGAGGCAGCACACTCAACGTGGGAGGGTTTGAAGGGCAAACTGAAATGAATTGAAAAGCAATTATCCTTAAAACTTTTTAAAAGACTAAATTATTGAACATGAAATCCAAAAAATTAAAACTATAGTCAGTGAAAAAGACTTAAAAGATCGCTTAAAAAGGAGCATATTTTAGAAAGTAATAAGCATAAAAGGTCAAGGCAAATCATTTGTGGTATCTCACAAAGTAGCATTATGTATTACCAGTATTTCCACTGTATAGTCTTCCTACTTTTGGTGTGTGCCGATTTTTGTACAAAGATGGGATCGTGGTCCAGACTTTTTCATGTTCTGTGCTTAGCCGCTCAGTCATGCCTGGCTCTTGGCGACCCCATGGACTGTAACCCTCCAGGCGCCTCTGTCCGTGGGGATTCTCCAGGCAGGAATACTGGAGTGGGTTACCATGCCCTCCTCCAGGGGGACTTCCCAGCTCAGGGATCAAACCCAGGTCTCCTGCATTGCAGGTGGATTCTTTACTGTCTGAGCCCCCAGGGAAGCCCTTCTTCTATGTTCTTAAAGCTACGTAGTATATTGACTATGGGTCTGTTATAGTTTATTTAAAGAATCTGCATTTTCAGTATGCTGTGGTAATCACCTTTACATTTTTTTNCCTTCTTCTATGTTCTTAAAGCTACGTAGTATATTGACTATGGGTCTGTTATAGTTTATTTAAAGAATCTGCATTTTCAGTATGCTGTGGTAATCACCTTTACATTTTTTTAAAAAAATTTGTTTTCTCTGAAGAATAGTAAGACTGTAGAGAATACATAAAAACATAAGAAAGCAAAGATATCAGTAATCTTAACACACAGTAATGAGCTTTATATATGTAACTCCGTATGTTTAATAGTCATCATATTATACGTATTGCTTTGTAACCCCCTCCCTTTTCACATCACATTGTAAAGAGTTTTCCGTGTGAATTCAAGATCTATATTATGTGCAGGGCGCTTTGTCTTTGTAAGACTGGCCTATAAATGACTGACCTCCATTGTAAGACATCGAGTTGTTTTTATTTCAGTGTTATGAACCATGTTAGCAGAGTTATGCCATTGTTATAACATCATGAGTATGTTACAGTTTTTTTTTTATTTTTCAACAGGTGTTTGCATATGATCACTGTTTCTGGTCTATGGATGAATCTGTCAGAGAAAAGTATGCAGGTAAGAGTCCAGCATCCTGTTAACTCCTGATAACATAGACAGATGTTTTAATATGTTTTCTATAAAGTTTCGTAGTGGTGTAATTCTAGAAACTATACAGCGACCTTCCTCCAGTCTTTGCTGTTAAGAGTGTTTACCTCAATTGGAAAATGGGAGATGAACAGTGCAGTGTTGGTGGTGTGAGATGGTAAAGTTAGATGAACAGGGCTCACAGTTGAGGTTATCCTAAATGAATGCCGGGCCTTATGTGGGACCATAGCATGCAGTAGCCACGTTGCTTCCCTTAGATGTTGGTGATGTGGTCAAGAGAGGCAGCTTGGTGAAATGAAAGAACTCTAGCCAAGAAGGAAAGGAAACCCTGAGTTTAATACCAAGCTCCAGTCCTGACCATCTCTTTGAATAAATTACTTAGGCTTTCAGTGTTCCTATTTCCTCTTTAGTGGAGAGGAATATGCCATATTCCCTCTAAATTTGTTCTGGGATTCTGTTCTTTTATTCTCCTCAGTGATGACTGTCTCAGGCCCCATTTCACTACAGGTTTAAAACTATAGCGACTGCCAAATTTAGTTAAAAAAAAAAATCTAAAAAAGACTACAGCCTTATATTTTTTTTATTCCTAATTGCTTGTGACGACTGTTTCCTAAGAAATCTTTTAAATATTGAGTGTCTTATTGACCTTTGTCATGAGAAACAGTTCATTCTACAGCTGTTTGAAGAAGTTGAGGTTAATTTGGGCTGGCTGGGCCCAGTGACGACTTTAAGGATTGCTTCAGGGAATTCCCTGGTACTCCAGTGGTCACGATTCCATGCTTTCACTGTTGAAGGCCCTGGTTTGATTGCGGATCACTATGATCCCACAAGCCATGCGGCATGGCCCGGGGAAAAAAAAGGATTGCTTCCGTGTCAGAATTGTGGTGATGCACTAACCTGGTAAATTAATTAGGAAATGAGGCACAATGGGATGCTATTTATAGCATACAAAATATAACAAACATAACAGCATCCAGTTCTTCCATATTATTTTCAAGACTCAAAGAAGTTAAACAGTTTGTCCAGGTCACTTGATTATTGACACATTTAATTTAGCCTGTGAAGGCAATCTGACCCTACTCTTTATGTTCATGATTGAAAGCTAGAAGAAATAGCCCAGACCTTCCTCCCTCTCCCAGCTGATCTGTAATTGAACATTTTCATTGAGGGAAAAGGAGAGGGAATTTGATACATACCATTGTGTTGAACTTCACAATGCACTCAGTAGAAGCATTGGCTGAGTGGTCCATAGTTGAATTCAGGTCCAGCCAGGTCCCAAGCATATATATCAGATTCTTTATAAAATAGAGGTTCATTGGTCTATTTTTTTGGCCAGTGTTTTATTCAAGTTCATATCATCAGGAACTTTTCACTCATTTTCTGTCATATGCTAACTAGAAATGACCTGCTTTCAAAGAAGCATTCATCAAGCTTAAAAATCTTGTGTGGTAGATAAACAAACTGAAAAAAAAAAAGATGCATTTTTGAGGGTTTTGTTTGTTTTTAATTGTTCATATGTGGTTTTGGCTTAAAACATCCGTTTTCTCTGTGTTTCTCTTTCAGGTCAAGATGATGTTTTCAAGTGCCTTGGTGAGAATATCCTGCAGAATGCTTTTGATGGCTACAATGCATGTATCTTTGCCTATGGACAGACTGGTAATTGTTAAATAATCTATGTTTTTTTTAAAGCTTTAACAATTCTAACAAAGAAAATACCAAAAAGAATACATATTGCTAGCATCTTAGCAGTTATGATTGATAAAGGAGTGCTTTGACTTCTGTACCTTTGTGGTCAACACGAAAGGAAAGGGACAGTTAGGGAGGTTGGGATGGACATGTACACACTGCTATATTTAAAATGAATAACCAACAAGGACCTCCTGTATGGCACAGGAACTCTGCTCAATGATACGTGGCAGCCTCGATGGGAGAGGAGTTTGGGGAAGGATGGATACATGTGTATGTATGACTGAGTCCCTTTGCTGTTCCCCATCAGCATTGTTAACAGGCCATATACCTCAATACAAAAAAACAAAAAAAAAAAATTTTTTTTTTAAATTAAAATAACAAAAGTGAAGGAGTCGTTTTTATCTGGAGAAGGAAATGGCAACCCACTCCAGTATTCTTGCCTGGAGAATCCCTTGGACAGAGGAGCCTGGTGGGCTGCAATTCATGGTGTTGCAGAGTTGGACATGACTGTGCAACTGATGCACACGCACATTTTTATCAGGATTTATCGTATAGCTTGTTCTTAAAGAGAAAAATGCCTGTGATATATTCAAGACTTAAAATTCTTTTCAGGACTCTGAGTGATTTAATTTTTTCCTTTCTGTTTTCTCATGTCTTGTAAATGTTCTCTAATGAACATGTATTTTTGGTGCAACGGAGAAAATAAATTTGTACTAGAAGAAAAATGACTGATTTCTATGCCGTTGCCAGAGGGTAGTGGTAGAGAGTTAATTTGCTCTGGGGCCTGCAGAGATGGCATATATGTTTTGTGTGCTATGATTAGTGGTTGGGAGCAAGCACATAACTTTCATCATATGGATCTTTCCAGTTCAATTTTAGAGAACTATTCAGACCTCACAATTTTTCAGTCATTTTAGGTAATTTTTTTTTTTAAGTATAAGGGTGATTAAAGAAGGTTTCTGTTTTTCTTCCAAAAGAATGTGTACCAGTGACTTTTACATGTACAAATAGGAAACCTAGTCTACTTATGAGTGTCATCATGGTATTTGGGTATATTCCTTATTTTGGGCATTTTCCTAAGTGCTAGGGTTTTACTGTGAGCAATGGAAAGAGGGCTGTGTATTTAAACTTCTCAAGGAGACAGTAATAACTATGATTTCCACTTTTTTTAGGATCTGGAAAATCTTACACCATGATGGGCACAGCTGACCAACCTGGATTAATCCCAAGACTCTGCAGTGGGCTCTTTGAGCGAACCCAGAAAGAGGAAAATGAAGAGCAGAGTTTTAAAGTAGAAGTGTCCTACATGGAAATTTATAATGAAAAAGTTAGAGACCTTCTTGATCCCAAAGGGTAAATGACTTTGAGGTTTGAATGTTATGATATTAGAGACTAAAACAGACTTTGTGAATTGGCTTAAGTGAAATGTTTTATATTGAACTTTAGTAGAGTTATTTATCTAGTTCCTGTCTTTGGGATTTGTTTTTAATTTTATTAAGTGGCTTCCTGCAGCCAGTTCTGGGCTTTTGAACTTGGGCTGGGTTGGGCTGGGAAGCATGGCTGAGTGGCATGTGTTTAGACTGTATACCGCCTCTCTCAGATGTATTCAAAGCCACAAAGAAAAAATATGTAATGATAGTTAACTTACTGCGTATCAGGATAACTGCTATCCTTAATCAAGTAGGGTGTTTCTTTTGCTTTAAAACAAGAAGTTTTGGATGGAATTCATCCATTTGTTTGCAGGCTGTGAAGTGAGGGAGAGGCATAATCAGAAATAGTGAAACCTGGACTTTCAGAGGGTTCATTTTAATTTTGCTCAGAAGGAGAAAAGACTGTCCCATTTCATGGCCTAGACTTTGATTTTTTTACTCATATGTTTAAATTGATTTTATTTAATACAACAGCACTAACCTCATAGCCCTAACATTGTGATTTGTACTAAGGACTTCTGACCCTCATCATTTTTGTGGCATAGACTTTGAAAGAAGTGGCTTCAAAGTGTTAGAAAGCCTTCAAAAATGATGGCATCACTCTGCAGTCATAACTGGAGCTAATGAGGAAGATAAGGGGGTATCTGAGGAAATCTGCTCATCGCACAGAGTTCTCAGAGTTCAGATTTTCAGGAAGTGCAACAATGGAGAGAAAGAAACAGATACTAACCGCAGCTTGTGGCTTACTACTGTAAGAACAGTGTTGGGGAGGTCAGAGAGCCACGTGAGCTGAGGCCTACAGAAAGTGTGGAGGATGCCTAGGGCACATCTAGTTATGTCTGGGTGAAAAAGGTGATCAAGGAAAGTTGGTCTTAGAAGCAGTGAAGTCAGTGACCCTCCATCAGGAGAAAACCAAACTGATCAACTCCTCACTGGCCTCTTGATTTCTTTAACAACGATAACCATCTGCAGGCCTTTCTGAATGAGACTGAATTGGTACTTAGAGTTTCTTCTTTTTTTTGGCTCCACCACGTGGCTTGTGGGATCTCAGTTCCTCAGCCAGATATATAATAGAACCTTGGCCTCTGCACTGCCACGGAATCCTTGGCACTTGGTGTTTCTATTAAAACCTCACATCACATTTATCGAGCAACCCCTGTGTGCCAGGCACCATGCAGTCGTAGATGGAGAGCTCACAGTGGACAGGATGTGAGTTTTTCTTTTTCTTCAGACTTTAGGCTTTTTGTTTTGTATTGGGGTGTAGCTGATGAACAACACTGTGGTAGTTTCAGGTGAATTGTGAAGGGACTCAGCCATACACGTACACGTATCCATTCTACCCCAAACCCCGCTCCCATCAGGCTGTCACATAACATTGAGCAGNGCTCAGCACGGCCCCGGAGCCTGGCCTTGCTGGGGGCTGTGGGCTCCTGGAGAAATAAGGGCACTCCAGTGCAGGGAACAATGTCTTTGTATGACTATTGACTGGGTTCCCAGAGACTCTGGATAAGTCAGGGCCCCTCTGCAATGAAGATGATAAAAGACAAGGATGCGCAGAGGTAGGACCCATGACCCCAGGCTGTATGGTACCGGCCCTTACTGACTCAGGAGATCTTCCACCAGCGGGTACTTATTACTTTAGCGCTCTCAGTTACACAGTCTGTTGTTTAGTTGCTCAGTCGTGTCTGACTCTTTGCGACCTCATGGACTGTAGCCGCCAGGCTCATCTGTCCATGGGATTTCCCAGGCAAGAATACTGGAGTGGGTTGCCATGCCCTCCTCTAGAGCATCTTCCTGACCCAGGGATCAGACACCCTGCATCTGCATCTCCTGCATCGGCAGGTGGGTTCTTTACCACTGAGCCACCTGGGAAGCCCTAACTTGAGCTTCACTATCTATGATTTGCTAAGTCTTTAATAATATCTTATATGTTTGTCTTGTGTATAGTTTAGTAATTAACTACATGGGCTTTGGAATCACCTGGCTCTGGATCCCGGTCTTCTACTTGTTACCTACTGAGCAAGTTCCTTATGCTTTCTAGACCTCATTTGTCCAGAAGGGGTAATAACATTACGTAATATCTCAGAGGCCTGTCATGGAAGATAGACTGAGATCTTAGAATATTTACTGGCACAAAGTAAGTGCTCAATAAGTGTTAGCTGTGGTTGTTTCCTTCATGAAAGTTTCTTGAGGATTTCTGTAGTGTTTCTGAAGAGCCAAAATGAGTGAATTAAAAGCTCTATGATTCCTTTTCAATGAAGGATTGTTTGAGAGAACCTCGTTACTTTATTCAAGTACTGATTTTATTAATTCACTATGTACTATGTGTAGTAATGTAGTTATATTTTACTCAAGAGATAATGGAGTATGCACTATCTTTAAGAAATAGGGAAAAATGAAAAAAGTTGTAATAGAATATGTATCCAGAGATCAGAACTAAGTTGAATACTCTTTATGCACTTTTATATACAGTTTTATAGTAGTAAGTTTTGGTGATTGATCCTAGGATACTGTAGATTCTAAATCATTAGAAAATAATGAGTTACATAGAACAAGACTCATTTCTAATCTTACCATCAGTATTCTTTTTAAAAATTGCAGTGTTTAGGGAATTCCTTGGTGGTTAAGTGGTTAGAACTTGGCACTTTCAGTGCTGGGGCTTAGATTCAGTCCCTGGTTGGGGAGCTAAGATCACCAAGGATGCATGGTACAGCCAAAAAAAAGAAAATGTAATGTTTATACTTTGTGAAGAGCTTTTTTCACATAGAGTTAGCCAGTAACAAATATCCTTATTATTTTTTGGTTGATATCATTAAGTACGCTGTAAGCTGTAGGGTTTTGGCAGGTTCCCTTTACTGGTTTTATTAGTTCCTTGTTTGTAAGAGGTTTATTTATTTATTGTTTAACTCATGAGTATTTAATTTTACTGAATCATTTTCAGTTTATTGAAATCATTTTACAGAAATGATTTTTTTTTCCCTCTTCAGTCTTATCATTGTGATAAAAGACATGAGTCTTTTCTCAATGTTTAAACCACCTCGCAGCCCCAGGCAGTCCAGTTTTATGTTTTTAAATCACTGTTAGATTCAGCCTGCTGTCTTTCTCTTTGTCTCTCTGTGTTTGTCTTTATTCACGATTGAGACTGGTCTGTCACTTTCTTTCTGGCGCAGTTTACATTTATTTAGTTTTCTGCTCTCTGTGCCGCATTCTGTGATGTGACAAGCAGATTGTTTGTATTTATTCAACTCTGCATTCTTTGTGGTAGTGGACATCCCACAGTGTACCCTTTTGAATTATGTGATATTTTACCCCATTATGAAGTTTTTCTTACTAGTCAAGAATCTTAAGTTTTGTTTTAAATTCTTCTGGGATCAAGTCTGTTTGTTCTGTTTATTTGGGATCTTTATTGAATTCAGTCTGTATTTTTATGGAGCCGTGGTTGAGTCTTTTTCTAAACAGGTTATTGTTTGAAAATCGTTTCTATTGTTTTTAACGAGCAGAAGCCGTCAGACGTTAAAAGTCAGAGAGCACAGTGTGTTGGGACCCTATGTGGATGGACTGTCTAAACTGGCTGTCACAAGCTACAAGGTAACAGCATCCTTTATGTCAACTGCTAAGATTCACAGTAGCAAATTTTGTTGTTGTTGAATTTGTGATATTTTTTTGCAATTAAAAAAGTTATAGCATCATTTTAATAAGTCAACTTTTTTTACAAAACTCTTTATTAAAAAGCTATATATGGTTATTAAGTTGGTTCAATTTTGAAAGAAGGTATACATTTTTGCAAGGCATACCTTTTCATCTATTGTGAGACATTTTTTTCCATATTTTATGAGCTCTGAAACTGATATTCCTTACAGTTGTATCTTAAAATGATAAATGGCAGAATTTTTTTCTTCCACAGTAGTACATAAAATAATGATGTTGCTTATGATTTTGGTGATTTAATGAAATTAAATATGAGTTGAGTAGTTGGAATTCAAAACCTGTTTCTAATTTGAGAAAATCTCTCAATAGCCTTTATAGTTACTAGTTCTCTTCATTTTCAGAAATCATAGTTATGCTTTGTGTGAATCTGCTAGGCTTCCCTCTTTGGGGAAATGGGGGTGGCGTGAGCTGTGATGTAATATACATTGAATTAAGAGTCAGAGACTTGATTTGGTGACAGTCCTCTCATGTGACTCCTATATGACTCTGGAACATTTATTCCATCTCACCAAGCCTCTCTGTCCTCATTTTTAGAATGGAAATTAGTTTTATTGTCTTGACTATCTTTTGAAGTAGATTCAGTAGTTCCTTTGTTCATGAATCAAATTCTGTCATTTGGTCAATGGTACTTCATTTAGTAAACATTTATTGAACACCTCTCCTGTGCCAGACATTGTGCTAAGTGCTGAAGAAATAAAAAAATGAATGAGGTCCGTTTCCTTAAGATGCTTACACATGTTTTAAAGGTATTATAAACAAACATGATTTTAAGTGCAGTGAGAGATGAATGTTTCAGATTCATGGTAGTTTGAACGAGGAGTTCCTAACTTAAATGGATATGTAGGTATCTTGGGAGGGTAGTATCCAGGAAGGTTTCCTGGAAGAGATCAGATGAGTTGATGCATGTGAAAAGTCTTCAAAAACTCTAGAGTATCATATAAATGTTAGGTATTATTAGGAGACTCTTGTCTCATTTGCATATATGGCCAGACTGAGTTGCAGTGGCCTCTGAGAAGTGCAGCCCCTTAGTTCCACTGCCATGTGCTCAGCTAAAGATGGGGCTCCTTTACTGGGAAGTACAGGAGGCTGGATAAAAGGAAGCCCTTAGTAGACTCTCTCACAAGTGTATCTTTCTTGTTTCTCATTAAATCCCTGAAAGGTAGATGTAATAGCTCTATTGTTGCTTGTATGATTGCTAAGTCACTCAGTCGTGTTGGACTCTTTGTGACCCTATGGACTGTAGCCCGCCAGACTCTGTCCATGGGATCCTCCAGGCAAGAATCCTGGAGTGGGTTGCCATTCCTTCTCCAGGGGATATCCTTGACTGGGGGGTCAGACCCACACCTCTTATGTCTCCTGCATTGGCAGGTCCGTTGTTTACCACTAGTGCCACCTGGGGAGCCCCACTGTAATGAAACCAAGTTTCAGATGGCTTAAATAAATTTTTTAGAGCCTTTAACATTTTTTAAAAAATGAAGATCCCATGATCTTTCTGTCTCCATTTTAGCTATAATGGCAAAGTTTAGTAAATCCATGCAGAAAATTAGTCTTGTTCTCATTTTTAAAAACAGGTCTGGTAAGATATACACTAATGTGGTGATCCAGTTCTATGCCTGCAGGGATGGGTTACAAGTTATTTTTGTTTGTTGTTTATTCATACAGTCTAATTTGATTTAATAGCTTCTATTGCTGTAACTAAATAGGCTAAAGATTCTCTAATTTCTAGGTGAGATGAGGACTGGCAAGGCATGTTGGTCCATCTGTGGGACTTCAACATGCAGCTTCTACTGTTTGCTAATTCTTGGTCAGAGCTGACACTTTATTCTACACCTACAGTAAATAATGTATTTTCTTTGTGTTTTCAGAGATAGTATTGGTTCTTGTACTCTATGTGGCTTCATGTTCATTGAAAACCAGAATATAAACTCCAGTTGTGGCCGACTAAGCAGTAAAACTTGGAATGCATTTCGTAGCATAGCAGAGTTTTCATGTTTATTAGATAATAAGATGTGTGTCTATGACTTGTTTCCATGTAGGATATCGAGTCTTTGATGTCCGAGGGTAACAAATCCCGTACAGTTGCTGCAACCAACATGAATGAGGAGAGCAGCCGATCACATGCGGTGTTCAAAATCACCCTCACACACACTTTATACGATGTGAAGTCTGGGGTAGGTATTCAGATGCATGACTTCTTTTTTTTTTTTTTTTCTTTCCAATTTCTAAAGTGGATCATGGTTTATCTTATTCCTTTCTCATGTTAGATGACTTAAAGTTGTAACCAGACGTGTATCAGTTAAGGACTCAGGACAAGAAATAGAAGCCACTCTAGGTAAACAGAAAGGATTGAGTGGAGGGAATTGGATGATTACCACAGGTGTTGATAGACCTACTGAAGAATGGTTTCTGGACTCAGTCTCTAGGAATAATCCCCAGAACAGCACAGATCTCATCCAGTGAGGAAAGTACTATCTCTGCGGCCGCCCCCAGACCTGTGAGTTCCAGGCACATCCCAGAGCTGTGACCCATCATATACCCATATTCGTGCTCGCCAGCCCAGAATGGGCCAGGGGGATGACCTCTACTGTGTTTCTGCTTTTTAAATTTGAAGCAAGAATATCTGATTGACAGAGTCGAAATCACATCCTGAACACTGGCCGCAGGGAGTCTGATAAATGTAGGTTTTAGCTCACTACTCTCTTCACCTGAAGGAAGTTGGAACAGAAGTTATACCAACTGATGGCCTACAGTGCCACAGCGTTTTTTGAACTTTAAACTCTGATGGCAAATTATATAAGCTAATAACACCCTAGCTGATTTAGTGAGGTTTCCTTTGACGTATTACCTTATGCTAAAAAGCTGAGTGTTAGAAGGAGTAAGTTGCACTGGAGAACTTGCACCCTAAGATTCTAGATTCATAGAATCATTTTTTGAGCATTTGGTCTTCAAACCTTTGAAGATGAACAGAACCAGAGATAGATATGCTTCTACCACACTGAAAACTTCTGTATTGACTAATACATTTTTTTTTTCCCTCTTACTTCTTATGTGAATTTTTGCATATTTTATTATTACCCTCCAGCGAATCAATTTCAAGTACCAGAAGCTAAAATGATCACCCTGGCAAAGTGCTATATTTTGGCAAGATTTTCGTTTGCTGAGAGCATAGTTTTCTTCTTTTACCGTCACAGCAAGATTAGTGTAATGACAAAAAGTTCTTTGTTTTCTATTTCCTTTTCAGCATAAAACAAAAAACATTCTGACATTTTTTTTTCAAACCAAAAGTACTTTTGATTTGGGAAGCTGAATTCCCTTTTGTTAGTAACATGTTTGTTTATGGAAATAAATATAAATGTATATTTTAAAAGAAAGTTTTAAAAAATGATCCAGAAATGAGGTTTCTCACATTTCTTATATTGCTGCTAAAGTATAGAATATTGGTTATGTCTGTGATTTGATAATAGAATATTTTTGATAAAGGAAAATGTCAGTATATATAAATACCTTAACCAGGAAAATATGTAAACTTAATACCTGAAATTATGGAAAAGAGAATTATTGTATGAACAATATGAAAACATTTTAGAATGCATTAGGTTTTTGAGGGATCTTTCTGTTGGATAAAGTAAAAAGTTTTTTTAATATCATAAGAAATGCAAATATTTTCTCGGGATTATTGGTAAGTATATATGAAATTTTAAGCACAGTCTCATATATTAAAATTTATACTTGTAATGCTTTTATATACTTATCTGTGAAAGTTTTGTTGGGTTCCCTTCAAAATGTACCATTTTGGAGTCACTGTGTTTTTTGGGGGTTTTTTTTGGAGATAATTTTCTCTCTGGATTAGTAGTTGTGTATGATTTTGTATGTATCTACCACTGGGTTGTTTAGTTTTCTTACACTGTTTTGTAGCAGCCCAAATTAATTTTAAAATGACAAATATGCTTTAAAAAGGATTCAGACAGTAAACTCATTTGGTAGAAATGTACCACTTTCTGTGTTCTTTAACTTTTAGTATTTGTTTATTTGCTCCCTAGACTTCTGGAGAGAAAGTGGGCAAGCTGAGCTTGGTTGATTTAGCTGGCAGCGAGCGAGCAACGAAAACAGGAGCGGCAGGTGACCGGCTGAAAGAGGGCAGCAACATCAACAAGTGCGTTGTCTGGAAGCCTGCCCCATTGCTGCGGTGACTTAGCCCAAAGAGGGAACTGGTGTAGTTTTTAAAGAATAGGATTCTGGAATGAATGAGGCTATAAAGAATAAATAGAACTTTTTTCATAGTAATTTTTAAGGGCCGAGCCTGTTGTCTGTCTTGTTGAGATGTCTGCTGGGGCCCAGGAGCACAGCCTCAGTCAAGTCAAAGGTTCTCCAAGGGCAGCCCTGCCGCGGTTCGGGCCGGGAACTGTCCAGGGAGCAGTCCTGGGCCTGGTAGCGTGCCCCTGACCTCTGCTCACTAGGGGGCCCCAGTTCCTGCCATCCCCAACCCCGGGTTGTGACAACCCCGGTTATCTACAGGTATTGCCGGGTGCTCCCTGTGGAGACACAGTCACCCTCAAGGTGCGCGCCACTGGTCTAAGCTATAGAAGAGAACAGATATAATTACAGTATCAGAACCTTGGCATGGGTGTGTCTGAACAAACAGTGGCATGTGTACTGACCACATTGGACTTTTCCTTTTATGACAACTGTGGTCCTTATTTATACCAAGATTTTACTTTACAAAATAATATTTGGTGCATCAAGTCATACATATGGTTACATATTTTCTTACCTTAAGCTAAATTAAGCTAAATTGCTAGCCCCTGTTAGTGGGTGGGAATCTTTTCCATCTTTGTGGCTCCCAGGAGGACACATAGCAAGACAGTCATCAGTAACCAACTGGAGATCATAGAACACCATCATCCAGATGCATGCTGTTATGTATTTATATATGTAGGAATGTTTTTGCCTTGTACTATGTTTTAGTTAATTGCATTGTGTTCATGGCTTCCTTTCTTAAAGATATATGGTATTTGTGTCATTATTTTGCCCTAGTGGTTTATAGCTTACATTTTCTTTATACAAAAATGAAAAAAAAAATCAAACTAAGCAATTTTATAGCTTACAGTAGTATTAGAAGGCTATCAGCTATTAGAGTTTGTGTGTTCTTAACCTGAGCAGCAAAATGCTGACAGAAGTGCTATTGTCAGGGTGGCACAAAGGCATCTTGGTGTTCAATCTTTGTGCTTAAATGTGACATTTGATATTCTCAGGTTTTTATGATGATTATGGTTTGTTGCACATGCAGGTCCCTCACAACCCTGGGTCTGGTTATCTCAGCCCTAGCAGATCAGGGTGCTGGCAAAAGCAAGAATAAATTTGTTCCATACCGTGATTCAGTTCTCACTTGGCTGCTCAAAGTAAGTCATCTTTAACCCCCTTTCTGGGATTCTCTTGGTGGTTGGTAAAAAAGGAATAATAAAGAGTAGACTCTTGATTTCTCCCAATTATAATTTCCTACATCAGTGTTCAAGTTTATAATCATTAGACTCTTACATGGTGGTTATAACTTTAATGGTTTAAGCATAGGTTTCTTCCTGATTTCACCAGAACCTGGAAGCAGTGGGGGCTTGGGGCGCATGGAATCAATTGCACTGTCACCTCTAAGACTTGGGGACCAGAATAAAGAGCGAGTGCCAGTCTCACAGCCGAGTGGGTCCTAAGAAGGGGTTTCCACTGCCTTCCGGGCTTAGCTGGACCGCTCCAGCCTTCTTACTGACTCCTTGTGTCTGATGTGTCTTACTGACTCCTTTTTGGACCTTGTTTTCCTGTTTAACTTCCGGACTACTCATGATCATTTTGGTTTGCTTTTGGCTTCTTAAAGCTGCTGTTAAAGGGCAGAGAGTAGAGCACACAGTCATTCACTCGTTAACTGATTCAGCGTGAATGAGAGGAATGGAAATGAGGAAGAAGAAAACTGTATGAAGTGCTCTGAGGAGGATGTGAGGAAATGCTGGACACTCCTTGTCCTGTAATCCCTCAGTCTAGTAAGGGAGAGATGTGTGCACAGAACACTATACCACGAGCTGGTGATTTCATGGGAGAGATGGAAATGACATGTAATAGGAGTTTGAAGGGAGAGACTGTTTCCAGGTTTCTTCTAGTCTTCAAGGTTCCCTTTTGTCTTGATCGAGTCGCCATGATGGCTTGGGTATTGGGCTGGAAGGTAGAGGATATAAAAATCTAGTGACAGTTTAACTCCTTATGAAGTTGCCAACCCGGAAAAAGATATTTGACCTTAATGCTCTTTTTTTTTCTTCCATTTTCAAAGAAGTCTTTTTAGCATTTTTATTTTTAAATTTTCTTGGCTGTGCCACATGGCATGTGGAAATTTAGTTTCCCAGCTTGAGATCGAACCCATGCCCCTTGCACTGGAAGCTTGGCGTCTGGACCACCTGGGAAGTCCTGTACCTAATGCTCTTTAAAAAAATGTTTTTAAAATTGAAAAATAGTTTTATGAGCCCTGTTTAGTTTTATGTTGGCCTATTCTCTTGATTTCCTTGGTCAGGAATTTATTGAATACCTGTTACTGTACTAGCGGTTGAGCATGTAAAGATGAGGTGAGTGCAGTCAGCATAGGGAAGCACACAGCTTCTGAGTTACGCTTGACATGTTTAGGGACCTGTGCTTATGACGGAAGAGGGATTTCCTCCTAGTTTCTCCATCCTCTCAAAGGCTTGCTTAGTGGTCACCTTTGCTTTCTAAAACTCTTAACACCATTTGAGCACACCTGATTAAGTGAAATTTGCCACAGTAGAAAATCAGCTGGCTTACTTCCTTTGGCCAAAATGCAATAAAAATAGACATGAAAAACAAAAGGATAAACAAAATTTGATTTTGAAACCACTTGTAGGCTGATTCACATTGCTGTATAGCAGAAACCAATGTAATATTGTAAAGCAGTTATCCTCCAATTAAAAATAAATTTTTTAAAAAAGAAAAAAAATGCTTGTAAATAACTCTTGAATTAAAAGCATACAGTATATAAAACACTTAATTACTGAGGAAATAATTGTCTGGTCTTCCTGTGTTAGTAATTTATCTTGAAATCTCCTTTGTTTCATTTCCAGAAGAAATTCTCAATGAGATACTTCTTCCTCACACTTTTCGTTAGAAACATCTCCTGCCATTCATGATAATTTCTGAATGTGCGTGATTTAAAAGAATATTTTCATTGCTGTATTGTTCTGATATTGCTACTTCAGTCCATTTAACCTAACAATAAAGAAAAATCTTCTGTTAAGTTACTTGACATAGTTAACATGGCCTAGGTTAATTATTGAGTGTCCATCCCATAGATAGGCTGGAAGTCAGGAGAGTTTGGGTCAGGAGAATCATGTACCACGCCTCCTTGGAAGGCAGGTGATAGTGTTCCCATTTGACAGATGCGGCAACATATGCAGAACCAGCAAGTGAGAGAACCAAGACTGGAATCCAGGGCTGACCTTGCTGCCATCCACTGTTGCCCAGGCTATGCTCTTCTTACCAAAGGTTTCTTTCCATTAGAAAGAGAAGCACTTAATTTTTTACCAAAAGTGATAGAAACTGTTGAATATAATTGAACTTGAGCAAAACTAAACACTTCTTTTTAAAGGAAAAAAAAAAAGAAGCTCATTTTATCTTTGATAAAATTAGGCTATAATTGTAACTTTTTATTGCATAATTTTATTTGTTTATTTTTGTTGCTCTATGGGCTTTTCTCAAGCTGTAGTGAGCAAGGGCCACCCTCTAGGTGTGGAGCATAGGCTTCTCCCTGCAGTGGCTTCTCTTATTGCAGGGCACAGGCTCTCGGGTGCACGGGCTTCAGTAGTTGAGGCACTGGGGCTCAACAGTTGCAGCTCCTGGGTTCTAGAGCATAGGCTCAATAGGCACATGGGCTTGGTTGCTCCACAGCATGTGGGATCTTCCCAGATCAAGGATCAAACCTGTGTGTCTTTCATTGGCAGGCAGGTTCTTTGCCACTGAGCCACCAGGGAGGCCCTGTAATTGTATTTTCTATATATTCATCCTTAGGCTAAAAAAATGCATAGTTTCCTTCATATCTTTTCTAAAAAACTACATGATTTTTTTTTCAATAAGGGCATAAGTAGGGCATTTATATAAAAATATACCAGAGTTTAAATGATTTTCCCCATAGCCTCTTAGAATCCACTGATACACATATCATTCTCCTTTGAAGTGCCTTCTATGTCCCTGTTGATTTTCCCTTCTTTAGTTCTTAATTAGTCTAACTCTCCTTCATCCTTGTTTAAATTACTATTCTCCAATGTAACTTTCATGGAACTCATAAAATTGCTCATCCTTTATAAGATTTGAAACTTTTTAATTTTTTTGCATTGTATATGCATTATTAATTATGTCCTGCTCTCCCTGTTACAGCATCTTAGAAACTGATCACTCTTGGTGACTTGAGGGGGGTTGATTGATGAGATTGCCTTTTCTCACAGGCGTGTTTGAATGCTTACTCATTCGGCCAGTGGTCAGTAGAGAACCGTTTCGTATTAAGATGATCTTTGCTTATCTCTGTAACTTTCTAAATGTGTCTCTTTAACATCAGATAACTACTGATAATGAATGCTCCAATAATGATTATCTTTCAAATGCACCTACTTTTAAAAGATTATTTATTTTTAACATTATTTGCTTACTCAGCTGCACTGGGTCTTGGTTGCAGCCTGTGGGATCTTTGTCGTGTCATGCAGGGTCTCTCATTGCTGGCACACGGACTCTCCCACTGTGGCACGCGGTGCACGGTCTCAGCTGCTCAGAGACATGTGGGATCTTAGTTCCCTGACCAGGGATGGAACCACTGTCCCCTGCATTACAAGGCAGACTCTTAACCACTGGACCATCAGGGGGAAGTCCTTCCAATTCATTTGTTTTTGCACCCTTACTGCCACTTCCCTAATGAATAATGAAGGGTTTCTTCTCTCTCCTGGATGATTGAAACTCCTTTCCTGAGTTTTCCTAGTCCATCCTGTTCTTTAGTGAGGTTGCTGTCTTTCTAAATCAATGCTCTTCTTAAACTTTAATCTCTTCGGTAACTCTCCAGAGGGCCTTATGTTAGTCCAAATTCTTTACAGACTTGTGGTTTACTCGGCTCCTCCCGACTTCTCATTGTTCAGCTTTTGCTTCTTGACATGATCTAGTCTAGCCGAGTGATGAAGACTTTGCTCTTACTCTGCCGGGCACATCCTTGCTCCTCTCTTCCACCCTGCTTCACACTTTCCTCTCCATCCCCTTTACCCCAGTGATGCTTATTCATATTTAGGTGTCAAATGTCACTTTCTCTGGGAGTCTTTCCTAACCTTTGAGGGCTGTGCTTTTTGCTCTTTTTCTGTCTTCCTGGACCGTATTGTATTCATCCCTACTTTAGTTTGTAGCCTATAGTATTTGCTCACCAGCATCACCCTCTAGATGGTAAACTCCATGAAGAGCTGAATGAATGAATAATTTCAGCTCTTCTCTGCACTAGCATTATGACCTTTGGTGAGCCTGTAAATCTCCCTGGGTCTCAATTTCTCATCTGTAAAATGAAGAGACTCGATTAGATGACTTCAGAGAGTTCTCTCAGCTTCAAAAAATTCCGACTTCCAAAATCAAATTTCTTTCTTATGTCCATTTAATTTGTCATTGCCAAAACAAAGCTCATCGGATTTGCCTAATTAAACAATTAAAGAGTAAACAAGAGGCATTCTACTTTCTTCTTGAATGAGTGCCAGTTCTTTTGTTGCTGTTTCCTTTTTGCTGGTGGCATGAGGCCATTTTTGAATATAAGCATATTGTTCCTCAGGCACAAGCTCTTTTAAAATATCAAATATTTGTCATTTGCCAGGTTTCCTTTCCTCAGCACAAATTGAAGCACAATACACATGCTTTTCTCCTGTGGTAGTCATTGTTAGGAATCTGCTTTTCCCCAGTAGCATTTGCTATTGGTGTGGGCTGAGAGAATGCAGTGCTTTAGAAGGGCGGTCTTAACGTGGTGCTGCTTGTGGACTGAATTCCAACCAGAGATGTAACTCCTGTGATCTTGGTATATAACATATATATATAATATTACCATGCATGGGATTTTTCTTGACATTTTTTCTGCAAATTGCCAAGGCTGGGTACCGGTAATGTATGGTCGTGTCTAGGAGTGGAGTGAAGCGAGCAGTTCCACCCAGACTTTCTAGAAACTGCCTTTGCTTCCTAAAGCCCAGATTACTTTTATTTCCTTCCTTTTCATGCTTTGAAGAGTACTTTCTTCAAAGATATAATTATCTTAGCTATGTTTCCTGTGGAAAACCAAAATCTTAGTAATGGATGAATAAGTGGACATATTGTTAGTGATTATATTGAACTGTTAGCAGTATGTTGGGAATTATTTTGTTTCTGGCACTAGGACAGAACAATTTGGAAAGATTTCAGGTCTGAACTCTCTCTGTGTTGCCAAGTGTTGTTTTGTTCCTGTGCTATTGTGGGTAGCTATAGGGGAATGGAAATCATAATGGGTTGGAAGGTAGAATACAACTAGGTTGGAATATTTTCTGTTTACTCGTTCTGGATCTATAGGCAGGTTGTTTAACCTCCTTTGTCACAACAAACCTCTGGTTTTTCATCAGTAAAATGGGGATAATAATTAATTCACACAAGGCTGAGGGCTAAATCATCTACGCACAGAGTTTTGTAAATCACAGGTTGTTTAAACAAATTTTAGATATGTTGATACTGGAAAAAATTTCTATCTTCAAAAGTGAGAATTTGGGAGACCTCCCTGATGGTCTAGTGGTTAAGACTTCATGTTCCCAATGCGCAGAGCACAGATATGATCCCTGGTCAGGAAACTGAGACCCTCCATGCCACCCGGCTTGGCCAGAAAATAAAAAAAAAAAAAGAATTTTATATTGGTTGATGCTACCCCAAAATAGGGTTGGCTTTCTTATGACCTAATGAATTCCTCTTAAATGGGCTATTTGTAATATTGTGAGTCTGTAATTTAGTGATACTTCACTGGTGAGAGGGCGTGCTGAATCAAGTCTTCTGGGTAACTCTCATCCAGGGCCGGTGTATACCTATAGCTGTGTAATACCCCAAGACTTAGCAGCTGAGAACAGCCATCACCCGTTATCTCAGTTCCTCTGGGCAGGATTCCGGGTGCTGCCCAAGTGTTCTGGCGGGGGTGTCTCCCGTGGCTGCAGTCCTTGCCAGGCTGCCGGGGTTGGATCTGCTCACCTGAGTGCTGGTGGACAGGCTTCAGAAGATGTGTTCCCAAACTCGCCTCCGTGGTCTCTTTCTGGGGCTGCTTCACTTCATGGCAGTGGTTTCTTTCAGAGTTAAAGAAGACACGCACAAAAGAAGCCAGCCTGTTCTTGTTTTAAACTTTTTTATTTAATTTATTTTTTCCTGCACTGGGTCTTCGTTGCTGTGTGCAGGGTTTCTCTAGTTGTGGCAAGCAAGGGATGCTCTGCAGTCCACAGGCTCCTCATTGTGGTCGCTTCTCTTGTTGTGGGGCACAGGCTCACTAGTTGTGGTGCACAGGCTTAGCTGCCCCATGGCATGTGGGATCTTCCCGGACCAGGGATCGAACCCATGTCCCCTGCATTGGCAGGCGGATGCTTTATCACTGGACCATCAGGGAAGTCCCGAGAAGCCAGTCTTTTGTAACCTAGTCTCAGACGTGGCAGGCCATCACTTCTGTGTTCTCTTCCTCAGAGGCAGATCAGCAATTCCTGCCCACATTTGGGGAAAGGGGAGACCCCAGGTGTGAATTCCAGGAGGCAAGATCTCTGGGGGGTCATCTTGGAGGCCGCCTCCTGCAGTTGGAGTTCATGTAGCCTTTGTGTGGTAAAGTGGTGTGGGGTAGATCTGACTTTCCAAGTCTCCTTTTGTAATTCCAAGTTACATCTAGTTACTTTTAATGCTGTCAAGGGAAAGTCGGTTTTTGAATTGGTTGGAGCCCATTCTAAAATTCATTTATTTAGTTAGCAGTTTTGTATAATGGAGATGAATATCTTTTTATTTTTTAGCACCCTTGTCTGAACTCTAGAAGTGGTTGTACAGAACTTGAAGCCTGTTTTAGTAGTGTTTGAAGTGCTGTCAGAGGGAATAAGATGTAGTACCTTCAATGTATCTTTTGTTTAATAAGACCGTAATTATTCCTTATGTTTTTTTAAAAAAAAGGTACAAGGAGCTCAATAGCTTGTAACAGCACCACTTTCTGAGACATCATTTAAGCTTCATAGACATTCCGGATACGTGGTGTTATGGAATAGACTGTAGGCAATAACTCTTTGATCAAATGCTATTAGAATTGTTCAGTTCTTCTCAGGGAGATTTTGCAGGTATTTAAGGAAGCATCCTTTTTTATTCTGAGCAGTCTGCTGACCTATGGTATCATGTTGCCTGTTAAAAGATGACAAATTGACTTAGAATGAATTTTTGTCAAACTGAAATAAAAGGAGGCTTCTCTGTATTAATATTTCCCTGTTCTTTCTCAAAAACCAAAGCTCCTTTTTGCAGAAAAGTAGCTTGCCAAAGAAGAAAAAGCAAGGGACTGGAAGTCAGGTCACCTGTATTTAAGTCCTGGCTTTGCCCTTAAATCTGTTTTTGACCTGGGGACATTAGCTCACCATTTCTGACTTCAGCATTTCCATATGATGCTTTCTTCCAACTTGAAAAAGCTATTCAATTTCTCTTCTCCTCCAGGACAGCCTTGGGGGTAACAGCAAGACTGCCATGGTAGCTACTGTGAGCCCCGCAGCTGACAACTATGACGAAACCCTTTCAACCTTACGGTATGCGGATCGTGCCAAGCACATTGTGAACCACGCCGTGGTGAACGAGGATCCCAACGCACGAATTATCCGGGATCTCCGGGAAGAAGTAGAAAAACTCCGTGAGCAGCTAACCAAAGCGGAGGTATAAGGCCTAGCTGAGCCACGCCTGTGGGTCTAGGAAAATCTAGTAAAGCTAGAACCTGAATTGTCTTCCCCTTGGGGCCTAAATGATGAATATTCGACTCAGAATTTTTGGATTTCCTATAGGAAGAGAAATTTGAGATGAGTAATAAAGGAAGACTGATAAATTGTCATGGTTGAAATTTAGATAGTTTTTATAGGTGTTAAAGGATTGACTAGAAGGAGAGAGTCAAGGTAACTGAGAAGATATTTCTTTGCACTGAATAGGTGACAGACAAGAGAGAAGCGGTAGAGTAGGGGGGAGAGAGAGGTGCTTGGAAAAAAACATATACAACTTAATATAGTGCAGCACATGGTGGCCAGTGGGCATAGGCTGATTAGAAGAGGCATCAAATAGATTTTTGTAGAATCATATGTTTGCAGGTTGAAGTCCAAACAGAAATACTATGGTCTTGCACAGTATAGTAATCTAGTTTTTTCATGTTATCGGTTAATTATATTCATAAGAAAAAATATTCTAGAGCAGAGAAGTAGCCATCTTTTTAATAGTGCTCTGTGTCACTATCCTTTGTATTAAAACATGCTATAGTATATAGTTCTGTTACTGAATTTGAAGCCTACACAATTCTAATCACAGATCTTTTTTAGTTTTTTAAAAATCTGTTGAAGTGTAGTGTGTTTACAGTGTTGTGTTGATTTCTGCTGTCCAGTATAGTGATTTAGTTATTTATGTTCTTTTCCATATTCTCTTCCATTATGGTTTGCATAGGATATAGTTCCCTGTGTTCTACAGAGGGACCTTGTTATTTATCCATCCTGTATATAATGGTTTCAAATGCTTATCTTTTTATCAAAAGTGGGATAAAATGTCAGATTCAAGATCCCTACTTTAATGAGCATTTTTGTTCCTATGATTTCCCAGCCTGTGGAATTCTTTCCTGGACCTGGGACCATAACCTCTTCTTTCTCATGACCATCAGTAAATTACATGGTCAAAATAATTATCTTGATTGTATTTTTTGCCTGTTGAATCTTACTCTGTTTTTACAGGAATAATTTTACAGTTCATCAAGATTCTTTGAAATTTTCTTATGAATTTTTGTCAAACTGAAATAAAAGGGGGCTTCTCTGTATTAATATTTCCCTGTTCTTTCTCAAAAACCAAAGCTCCTTTTTGCAGAAAAGTAGCTTGCCAAAGAAGAAAAAGCAAGGGACTGGGAGTCAGGTCACCTGTATTTAAGTCCTGGCTTTGCCCTTAGATCTGTTTTTGACCTGGGGACATTAGCTCACCATTTCTGACTTCAGCGTTCCCATATGATGCTTTCTTCCAACTTGAAAAAGCTATTCAATTTCTCTTCTCCTCCAGGACAGCCTTGGGGGTAACAGCAAGACTGCCATGGTAGCTACTGTGAGCCCCGCAGCTGACAACTATGACGAAACCCTTTCAACCTTACGGTATGCGGATCGTGCCAAGCACATTGTGAACCACGCCGTGGTGAACGAGGATCCCAACGCACGAATTATCCGGGATCTCCGGGAAGAAGTAGAAAAACTCCGTGAGCAGCTAACCAAAGCGGAGGTATAAGGCCTAGCTGAGCCACGCCTGTGGGTCTAGGAAAATCTAGTAAAGCTAGAACCTGAATTGTCTTCCCCTTGGGGCCTAAATGATGAATATTCGACTCAGAATTTTTGGATTTCCTATAGGAAGAGAAATTTGAGATGAGTAATAAAGGAAGACTGATAAATTGTCATGGTTGAAATTTAGATAGTTTTTATAGGTGTTAAAGGATTGACTAGAAGGAGAGAGTCAAGGTAACTGAGAAGATATTTCTTTGCACTGAATAGGTGACAGACAAGAGAGAAGCGGTAGAGTAGGGGGGAGAGAGAGGTGCTTGGAAAAAAACATATACAACTTAATATAGTGCAGCACATGGTGGCCAGTGGGCATAGGCTGATTAGAAGAGGCATCAAATAGATTTTTGTAGAATCATATGTTTGCAGGTTGAAGTCCAAACAGAAATACTATGGTCTTGCACAGTATAGTAATCTAGTTTTTTCATGTTATCGGTTAATTATATTCATAAGAAAAAATATTCTAGAGCAGAGAAGTAGCCATCTTTTTAATAGTGCTCTGTGTCACTATCCTTTGTATTAAAACATGCTATAGTATATAGTTCTGTTACTGAATTTGAAGCCTACACAATTCTAATCACAGATCTTTTTTAGTTTTTTAAAAATCTGTTGAAGTGTAGTGTGTTTACAGTGTTGTGTTGATTTCTGCTGTCCAGTATAGTGATTTAGTTATTTATGTTCTTTTCCATATTCTCTTCCATTATGGTTTGCATAGGATATAGTTCCCTGTGTTCTACAGAGGGACCTTGTTATTTATCCATCCTGTATATAATGGTTTCAAATGCTTATCTTTTTATCAAAAGTGGGATAAAATGTCAGATTCAAGATCCCTACTTTAATGAGCATTTTTGTTCCTATGATTTCCCAGCCTGTGGAATTCTTTCCTGGACCTGGGACCATAACCTCTTCTTTCTCATGACCATCAGTAAATTACATGGTCAAAATAATTATCTTGATTGTATTTTTTGCCTGTTGAATCTTACTCTGTTTTTACAGGAATAATTTTACAGTTCATCAAGATTCTTTGAAATTTTCTTTCTGTCTTCCTGGTATAATAATGCCATCCAGTTTGTAGCATGTACATATTTAGTCTGTGTATCCTTGAATACATACCCAAAGACATCAGTGAAGACTAGGATGAATCATGTGTCTTGAGTCTAGACCTACTGGGATTTAAAAAAATAAGTCCTTGATAGTTCGAACTCTCTATCTCCCTAATTGTAGTTAGACCTCAAAGTAGCAATAGGTGAGAGGAAAAGGAAGAAATTAAGTCTTCGTTCAAGCGCACCGGGCAACCGGATGAGTCTGTGACCCACAGTCTGGATGTGTGGGTCAGTGACGGTCCTTGTGTCGTAGGTGGGTCAGGAGCCTCAGCAAACTGTAGAGCTTCTAGGAGGCACATTGTTCCTCTGGTCCTCTTGGGTTTAGTGAAGGTATCCTTCTTCCAGGACATCGTGCAGCCATTTCATGAAATAAACATTTTGCTTGTAGGCAATGAAATCTCCAGAGCTGAAAGACCGACTGGAAGAGTCAGAGAAGCTAATCCAGGAAATGACTGTGACCTGGGAGGAGAAACTAAGGAAAACTGAGGAGATCGCCCAGGTTCGTGATTCCTGCTTAAGGAGAGAGAAACCTTGTGGTAGCTTGTGCAGTGCAATGCTGAGCATGTTTCTGGTTCCCCTTTTAAAAAAATTTATTTTTAATTGAAACATAATTGCTTTGCAGTATCCTGTTGGTTTCTGCCAAACATCAGCACAAATCATCCATAGGTGTCCATATGTCCCCTCCCTCTCAAACCTCCCTCCCATCTCTCTCCTCATCCCACCCCTCTGGATTGTTACAGAGCGCCAGGCTTGGGTTCCCCTGAATCATACAAAAAATTCCCATTGGCTATCTATTTTATATATGGTAATGTATGTTTGACTTTTAGCTTTGAATGTAGCAAATCTAGCAATTCAGATTTGTTTATTTAAAAAAAAAGCTGTTTGGCTTCGCTGAGTTTTTGTTGCAGCCTGCAGGATCTTTAGTTGTGGCATGTGGAATCTAGTTCCCTGACCAGGGGTTGAAAACACGTCCCCTGCATTGGGAGGGCGGAGTCTTAGCCACTGGACCACCAGGGAACTCCCAAATTGATTTAAATAAGACCTAAATCCAGGAGTCTGTACTTCACAAAGTTAATTTGAAGTTTAAGGAAAACATAACTACAATTAATTGAGTATTCATTATGTAAGAAGTACATTTGTAGGGCCATGAAAATTTTTAAATGATATAACTAGCCACTGGCTGTGAACACCCATTTCTGTTAAATGCTTTGCAAACCTCAGAAACTTACCCAGCTATAAAATTATTAGTAGTGGATATTTAGGCTGTGAGCTCCTTGCTTCCTTCCATATGACAAGTCAGTAAAAAGTAACAATGAAGTACCTAAGTCCCAAGTGACTGTGTCTCATTTTTAGACCATTTACTATAGAGCTGTGAAATCTTCCAGTGGGAATATTAGCATTTAGAGAAAATCCTAAAATGTCCAAGTCTCTGCTTCTTAAAGATTTACTCTATGGCTTTCCTGTTAGAGGCTTATTTAGCCTGTTTTAGAAATACTAATATATATGATAATGTGGAACACAGTACTACAGTGAACAGTCATTTCACGATTGGGCAACTCTGATGCTAGTAGCTATTGAACCGAAATCTTCTGTTCTTCCATTTTTGCTCGCTGGCCTTAGTTTGTTCTTCCAAAGCTAAGAGAATAAGCCCACTTGTGCACAGTAACTAATAATAACAATAATAACCAGCACTTATTGAGTACACTTAGGTGTTGCACCTGATGCTAAGCACTTAAAAATTTTTTTTAAATTTTGTATTGGGGTGTAGTCGACTAACAAACAATGTTGACTAAGCACTTTAAAATACAGTATTTTATTTAATCCTCCCAATAGCCCTGCAAGATAGGGCCTGTTATTACCCAGATATTTAAAATCACCTCTGCCTCCTTCCTTCCTTTGCTAAAGTTAAATCTCTGGTGTTCACTGTTCCTGGTATTCATGAATGTATAGAACTGTTACTCCTTTCATTACTCAGCAAGTTCTAACTCTCAGTGTACTTCCAGAATCAATGGATAGATTAGATGTAGTAGGACAGTACTACTATTATGTAGGATAAAGTGGATGTTAGATTTATATTAGTGCACACTAGGATTTAAGTTGATTTTTAAACATTTTTATTACAGTCCTTTTCAAAACAGATGAGAACATGAATATAATAAACCCACACATACTCAGTGCCCAATTTCATTAAAGGTCAACGTATGACCACTCTTGTTTTATCTGTATCCCTGCACGGGGTTATGTGAAAGCACATCCCTCACATTACACAGAGAATACACCAGTGTATGAGTTTTACTTCTCATTACACATTTATCTTTGTTTGTCATAGGTTAGGTCATTCTGATAATTGTCCGATTTGGGACTCGTGTATGCGAGCCTTTCTGAGCTACTCTGCAAGACCTGGACTCTGAAGTGCTGTTGTACGTGGGTTGCCTGGTCTGATGTGCAGCAGGGTGGGTCTCAGGGACAGTGCAGTGTGGTGGGACTTTCCTGCAGCATCTTTTCTTCCCTGAGTGTCCTTTCTCACTGCCATATTCCCCTTTTGCAGACTGCCTGGTGTTTATCGAACACCGCATTCAACACCTCATCTTCCCCGGCTTCAGTGCTTCCAGCTGTCTTCTCCTCTGTCACTGGTTTATTGGTCATCAGCCTCTTTGCAGTACAGATTAGTTTTCCCTAAAATGTGTTTCTGGCTGTATATCCACCAACTGTTAATAAATCTTTTGGGGAGAAAAGAAATGGTACGTGGTCAGGTAGCTTTGGGGAAATCTGGGTGAACTGAATCAAATGGACTTCTCTTCGTAAGAACTTTCTGGGAGTCTGTTCCAAGCCAGCCAGGCTCTCTGGCAGTCCTCTGTGTTCTGTGACATCTTCGTCTGGCGTGCCAGCCCGCAGAGCTTATTCCTGACATTGAATCCTATGGAACCTATCTATACTCTCTTGACTCTTAATTCATGTGATTTTTTTTTTTGGTGTGTATATACTTTTATTATCTAATGAGTTTATAAAATTCTCAAGGAAAACAATATCTTTTAGTTTTTTTCTTTTAATATTTATTTTTATTTATTTGGTTCAGCCAGGTCTTAGTTGCAGCATACAGGATGTTTAGTTGTGGATATAGGGTCTAGTTCCCCAGCCAGGGATTGAACCTGCGTCCCCTGCGCTAGAAGCATGGAGTCTAGTCACTGGAGCACCAAAGAAGTCCTCCTTTTAGTTTTTGAAAGTGTGTGCTCAGTAATATTTTTGATTAAATAATTTGAAATCAAAGTTGACTGATTTCTCAGCCCAATGCCATATATTTGATACCAAATTCTTTAATTTCCATCATTTATGTTCTCAGTAAAGAAGTGTACATTTAAGTGAGATAGATCAGGGGTTAGCAAACTAAGCCCTTGGGCACAACCTGGACTGTCACTTCTTTTCATAACTGTTTTTATTGGAATGTGCCATGCTTATTTGTTTTAGTATTTTTTATGGCATTAGCAGAGCTGAATAGCTTGTGACAGAGACCACTGAACCCAGATGACTAAAAGAAATGTTTGACATTTTATAGAAAAAGTTAAGTAGTCTCTGATATCAGAAGCAATACATAGTAAATGTCACTATATTTGATCATATAATACTTGTTTATTCTTGGAACTGACTCTTAGATGTTGCAAACTTTTGTAGTTTATTAATAATTAAAAACTTCAAGTCTGTTTTTTGGTGGTAGATGTAACAGTGAATTGATGGGTTTTCAATGTTGTGCCCTTCAGTTTAAACAAAGATTTTATGGTATTTCTACCGTTATAAAGTCTCAAAAGATAGGAAAATGCTTAAGGAAGTAGGGTAAAGCAGTGGTTTACTATATTATCTCATTTAAGTCCTATCTTTTCCCTCTCTCTTGAGTGACTTTACCTTTGTTAAGTCATACATTCTTTTTCAGGCTTACCTTTGCCTCTCTATGAATGAAAATTTTGCTACTAGACGACAGTAATGAAATTTCTTCTAAATTTATAATTATTTCCATAGTGGAAATTACTGGAGGCCTCAGGGAACTCAGGGCTTCCTTGTGGTTCAGCTGGTAAAGAATCTGCCTGCAATGTGGGGGACCTGGCTTCGATCCCTGGATTGGGAAGATCCCCAGGAGAAGGGAAAGGCTACCCACTCCCGTACTCTGGCCTGGAGAATTCGGTGGACTGTATAGTCCATGGGGTCACAAAGATTTGGACATGACTGAGTGACTTTCAGGGAACTCAAACCAGAGTTCTATCAACCTAGAGGGGTAGGATGAGGAGGGAGATGGGAGGGAGGTTTAGGAAGGAGGGGACGTATGTATACCTGTGGCTGATTCATGTTGATGTTTGGCAGAAACCAACACAATACTGTAAAGCAGTTATCCTCCAATTAAAAAATAAATAAAATGAAATCCCTAGAGTCCTAAGAAGAATGTAAAAGGAACTGTGTATTGCAAAAGTAGTATTTACTTATAGAAAATACAGAAAGATTATTATGAAGAAAATTTAACTGATCCAGTCATTCAAAGAAAGCTACTGTTAACGTCTTTGTGGTTTCTTCCAGGTTTTTCCAGTGCACAGATCGATGTACTAGCTACACTCTGCATTTTAAATTTAATGTTAGTTCATGAGTGTCTACCCATTTCGTTTGTAGTTTAAAAAATATATATATTTTTACAGAGAAATGTTTCTTCTCATAATTGGAATTACTTTTTAATCACACCAATATCCCCATGTATTTAAAAGAGGTTTCCCTCAGAAGGGACTATACAAGCTGTATTAGAATTGCTTTCTTCATTTTAGGAACATGGTTCTTTATCAAGAATAATAATTTTCTTTGGATTGAGTGCTGAAAACTAATGGCTAGTGTTAAATGACTCAGAACTTCTGAAAGAACCCAGTAATGGTTTTTTTGTTAGAAAAGAGACTGAATTCAAAGACCCAGAACTAAAATAGCCCATTCTGTACCCTTGCAGTAGTATTCTAGGAGAGATTGTTTGGGTTGAAGTGGCTGTATAAACTAGGAGGTTGTGCCTAGAATAGCAAAATTCTAAGCCTGAAACTTAGTTATCCTGCAGCCTTACTGTGTGGCCCTAGGTAGATAACACAGCTTGCCGTGCCCTTTGTCAGAATCAAAGCTTCTCGATGACTTGTTCCTACTTGCTGTGTGTACACGGTCAGACGCCCTGCTCTGCCCTGATCTGTGTGCGTTAGTAGCAGAGGCTCGGTCGCAGGATGCACATGTGTCTCCCTGTGTGCACACAGGTATGCTGTGTGAATTCAGAGACCGGTAGGCACAGAAAGGAAAGGTCCTTGTTCTTTTGCAAATAGGGCTTTCCTGAATATGCAGATTTTATCTAGAAAAATTCACAACACTGGCGATTTGAGTGCTCCTGTGTGTTATACACTCTGTGAGGTGCTAGGAGTCCCCAGTGGGGAGAGAGGGTCCCTGCCCTCACAGGGAAATGATGGAGTAAGAAGTTACCAGGTTTGAGAACAGATGTGCTTCAGCTAGGAGGAACAGGTGTAAAATCCCTTAAGCTAGGGAGAGTGTTGTTGAGACTCTAGGGTCTTGGAAGATGCCCCCATTAACTGTGTATAGTTGAGGGGTGACAGGACATGACCGTGGGGTCAGTGGGTCAGACTGAAGGGCCTGTGGCCTTGTTGAGGGAGTTCGGCCGTCATCCTTGCTGGGGACCTGCCAAGTGGATTAAATACTTGGCTTTTTAGGAAGATCACAGTTGAATAGAAAACACGTACATTTGCTCATATGTAAAGAATTAAATGAGAAAGATGAATTTAGGATGTTAGATATTTTCAAGAATGAAAAGTGAGAGCTTAGTATATTTGGTGGTGATTTGTAATTGGCTTTACTTTTATAATAAGTTTTACTTCACAAAGCAACATTAGAGTTTGTTCTCATTCTCAACTATATATAGAGTTTATATAGTTTAGAAAGAGGACAAATGCAGTCGTCTATATGATACCATATCCAAAGATAACATATTTGAATTATAAAGTTATTTCATAGTTACCATCATATATGACGTTTTATAGCTTGCTGCCTCAATAGCTGTGGAATTAATACTTCTCTAATGCGTTTACAGGAGCGACAGAAACAGCTTGAGAGTCTTGGAATCTCTCTTCAATCTTCTGGAATTAAAGTTGGGGATGATAAATGTTTCCTCGTTAATCTGAATGCTGATCCTGCTCTGAATGAACTTCTGGTTTATTACTTAAAGGTGAGGTCGTAGGCGTCTACTGTCTTCTGCCATGAAATAGAGCAGTATTTCATAGTATCATTTCTTTATACTCGGAGAACCATGCGTATTCAAAAAGAATGAGTTAGCAAATTGTTTTTGTTTGCTTCAGTTGCAGTGTAGAAGAATCTTGGGTTTCTAAGACCAGTCTCTCTTTTTCGTCTTTGAGTGATGTAAATATATTTTTCAACCTAGTAAATATAAAAAATGGTATTCTGATATTATCTCCAACAAATTAAGTAGCTTGACTTCTATCCTTTAGTGTGATTAATAAAGCAAGGAGTTAAGTGGATAGCTTGAGCTTAAAGAACGACTTGTAAACTAAATGGTTTCATTGGTAGACTGAAGCTCTTGTGGTATCTGTGAAGCACACCTTTTGGTGAGTGGTCCTGGTTTGCAAGAGGAAATGTTCTTAAAAAGTAATTAGGACCACTTGACTTGAAAATTTGTGTTTCCAGTAACTCTTAAGAAAGTTAAAAATTAACTCTTAGGAAAGTTAAACATTTTGAATTGTTAGCTTACAAAAAGAAGAGTAAGTCACTTAGAGGCTGAGAGGGTCAGAGCCTGGAGCAGAAGAAGCCAAATATACAGAAATATATATACATTCTATATATGTATATAGTCATGTACATTGAAAGCTATATAGGTTGTTGGACATAACAGGAAGATGAGACAACTTTAGGATAAACATGAATCAGACACTATAGAAATTATGAGGTGTTCACCAAAATTGCCAAGCCTAGAACATAGATGAGTTACTCTGACATGCAGTTAATAAATACTAGGTGGGGAATTTTCCTCTCATAATACAGGAACTATCTCTGAGGGTTTAACTGAGTTAGTGACTGGGACAGCAAAGATGTGAGCTGGTACAGTTGGAACCACTGTGAGAATTAGAGATTTGTGTCCTTTCATTTCGAAAGAGACTGAAGAATTCATGACATGTTGGCTGGTTTCCCAGTTTTTATCAGACATGTCTGGGGTAATTGCTTTGTAGTGTTTTGATAAGGCCCTGCTATTCCTAAGTATCTCGTATCATGTTTTATTACTCTGTGCATTAAGTCGAGTCTCTAATGCCTACGCTCCTGTGAGCATGCTCAGGTGCTGTGGGCAGTGGGAGGGAGATGCGCAGAGTTTCTGGTCCAGCACCACTTTCTTGACAGCCGTTTTTCTCTCAAGGTCTTTACCCCCGCAGTCTACAGATTCCTCCTCTATAAATGGACGTTTTCTCTGTCTGGCTACCTCACAGGCTTCCTGGAGGCTTAAATGGGAGTTGACCTATAGAAGCATTTTATAAACGGAAGCCCTGCTGACATATACCTTCTCCCACTTCCCATTTTCTCACTTGATCCTCTGGTACTTTACTATATCACCCTTGTCCTTTGGGAAAAAACGACGGATTGGCACATCTCCCGCTCTGCTTCTAACAGCGTTGGCAGCTGTCTGTGTTAGACTTTCAGCTGGGGATACTCATGCAGTATTCGTATGGGACTTAAGCGATTTGCCCTTTACATCTTCAGAACTGTGAATTCTTTTTCTCTTCTGACGTGATGTTCAAATCAGAACACACAAACACGCACACTCAATATGAAAAGAAAACCCCAATTCCTATCTGTTCCTTCACTAAAAAGTTACACAAAGAAACTATTTAAAGACTGTTGGAGGGCAGTCAGAATATTTCTGGCCGTCTTGTGAGGAGGTGTTGGGCTTCTGATGCAGACTGTGTGGTCAACCCTGCTTTGGCAAAAGTCTGAGGCAGTGTTGGTTTCTTACTGCCCAGGCTACACCCATGACAAGAGTATATTCATGACAAAGCACATTCAACAGGATGACCTCCGTCCAAGAACAGTTTCTGCTTCAGTAAAGTGATACCATTATGTGGGATGGAGGAATTTAGAGGCCGAGTGGTTTTTGTTTCTCTGCTTTCACATTCCCATGTCAGTGTAAATGCTGGGCAGATGACTTCACATCACTGGGTGACTTTGAGCACCCCGTCTGTGAAATGAGGCCACTGGATTAAATTACCTCTAACATTCTTTCTACTTCCAAGTTGAATGGTTCTCTTCCAGAGCAGAATCCTCTCTTTATCTGTTCTGTCTAGAACTGGCAGAAGTAAGGTATGGTGGCCAAACTCTAAGCAGAACGTAGCTCATGGGGTCTTTTTGCATCTTATTTGTATAGACAGGCAGCTCTTGTGTGGCATGGTTCCAGCCTCCACAGATTCCAGTTGACATGATTTAGGGAATAATGTTGACATAGCGGGCATTCATACGATTCTAGATGCGCAGCCAGAGGAAGTTAGTGAAGGTGAGCTTACGAATGTGAATGATGAAAGTGGTTGTGACGAGAAGAATGCAGATGTCGCGAAGGATTAGGGTTAAACCAAAGAGCACGTCATGTGAGAGGAACTCTTGGAGATACTTCACAACATTGAAAGCTCAAAGGATAAAGTGGGAGAGGCATAAAGGAGTATGGCAGTGCACCAAGGCATAGAAAATATTCTCACTCCATGTTGTAAGTTATATGTTGAGAAGAAAAAGGGAAGCACTGTTCCAGCTACACTCAGTAAGCTTTACATATGATGTTTGTTTGTTTATTTTTGGCTGTGCTGGGTCTTTGCTGCTGCTGGACGTTTCTCTCGTTGCAGCAGGCAGGAGCTGCTGTCTAGCTGCGGACACTGGCTTTAATTGTGGCGGCTTCTCTTGTTGCAGCGCACTGACTCTCGAGCACAGGCTCAGTAGTTGTGGCTCGTGGGCTTGGTTGCTCCCAGGCACATGGGATCCTCTTAGATCAGGGATCAAACCTGTGTCTCCGGCATTGGCAGGTGGACTCTTTACCAATGAGCCCCCAGGGAGGCCCTCGATAAGCTTTTAACAAAAAAATAAAATGCTTTCCATTTTAATGTTTCTAATATTCTAAATGACACTGTACTAAATAAATATTAGTTTCATTGTTTTTTCATTTCCCTCTATGTTATAGCAACAAGAGAATTCTGCATATTTTTACAGTTTTAATTGTCACAGAATTATTGCCATTTTCCCCATGGATGGTTAAGATCTCCTTGCTCACTTATTTTTTACAGTCCTGCTTTTTCGTGCAAAGCGAGGCCGGCCTGATAAGGCTGAACGGCCATACGGAGTGTGTGCATATGCTGTTCTTCCTGCTCGCAGGGTGGGAAAAGCCTTCGTGTGAAGTATGCCACTCTGTACTTCTCTCTTTTTGGACTTCGTTGATCAAAGGGATTGTAACCTCAAATGAGACACTTAAGTCGTCATTTATAATGTAAGCTGTACATTTGGGATCATGTCTATCTTTTATCTCTCGTGGCACAATGCCTAGCTCAATGTAATATTTGTTGAAAAAAGAAATAGTGTTCCTTCTGGAATTTGGATTAGACCGTTGCTGTTTGGGGACTTCCCTGGTGGCTCAGTGGTAAAGATTCTGCCTGAAGTGCAGGAGACCCAGGTTCCATTCCTGGGTTGGGAAGATCCCCTGGAAAAGGAAATGACAACCTACTCAGGTATTCTTGGCTGGAGAATCCCATGGACGGGAGCCTGGCAGGCTACAGTCCATGGGGTCAAACAGTCAGACATGACTGGAGCAACCTGGCACAACAACTCTGCTGTTTAGTGTCTCACCTCTGATGGTTTTGTTTTTAATTCAGTTTATCCTCTGATACTGAGCAGTATCCACTGTGTATCACGGACTCTGCTTGTTGTTGAAGATGCAGGAGTCCTGTATAGGTTGCTGCCTAAATAGCGGGAAAACAACACTTATATGATAGTAAATTGAGGTGCTGACTCTAGATGTAGTTGAGGGTTCAGAGAAGGGAGAAGTCAGGGTAGGCTACTAGTGAAACCTGCAAGGAGAAGAAGAGGCAGAAGTAAGTGCTGAAGATATTAATGTTTTGTGTCTGGGTGAAGAGAAGAGCGAGCATTTTGGGCAAAGAGAACAAAAGCAGGGGCAGAGACGTGTGGGTGAACCCGTGTGCAGTCTTGGGGGGCGGCAGCTGGAGGTGGTTCTACTTCACACTCCAGTCTCAGGGGTAGTTCATAGCTTCTTCTGCTTTTTGTCCCCAAGGACAAAAAGGCTTCCACAGTCACAGGATTCTTGCTGGAATTTCTCATAGGAGGAGGAAAGGGATTGTATATAGAAATAGCCTAAGCCAAGGGCTTTGAGGGGGGAGTGTCTTTGATTTTTAGGTGATTTCAGGCTCTTTTACTCTTTAGACTCTCTGTCTCTCCCTTTGGAACTTCTCCCCACCTTGTAGTGGGTGTGTTAAGACAGAGAGGAAAGATGGGAGATGAGTGTGGAATGGATTCCTTTGGCCTGCTACTGAACGTCACTAAAGCATTCCTTGTAGTTGACACCTGGTCAAGCCCCCTTCTCTGGGTTAGGAAGGTCAATCCAGGGATTGACCAGGAAGCCTCAGTCAAAATCGAGGAGTAGACATTGGCCTGGAGTGTCCCTGTGTTTCTCATATATATCCCCTGAGGACTGAACTGGATACCGGAACGCATTTCTGATCCCAGCTCTTTGTTTCCTTGGAAACCGCACTGCAGTGCACTTGAGAGAGGAAACCCCCAGAAGAGGGAAAGTGAGAATGATGGAAGGGAAGAGGCCTGTTTGTTAGATTGGGGTCCCAGAAGAGATGGGAAGAATTGGGACCAAGAGTGTAATTAGAGGCCTTGTGGACAGAGGAGAGGAGAGAACCACCTTCCTCTGAATCCGAGGAGGATGCTAAGGGAAATGGTTGTTCATTTATCTATCTTTTGTTTTTACTTAATGGCTCAATGTAGCAGGTCTGTGTTACATGCTTGGAATATAGTGGTGAGGCGGTAGGTTGCAGGACAGGCTGCCTTCTTCTGTCTCAGAGTTTCCTCGCTAGCTGTGGAGATGGACACTAAACCCACAGTCAGTCAGTGCTATGTAAGGGATTCAGGCCTGAGAGTAAGATGGTGGTTCTTTCTCATTGTCAGTTCAGTATACACCTCTCTGCGGATGTGCCCTTAAAAGCTGAGATGGAAATGATCAGAAACTACCAATATCACCGTCAGGGGAGGAACTCTTCAGGCAGAGGAAGCGGTTAGTATGCTCAAAGAATGGATGAAAGGCCTGTGTGGGTGGATCATGCTCCAGGAGAGGCAGAGTGCTGGGAGCTGGGATAGAAGAAGTAGCCAGGGGCCAGATCACAGGAGGTTTGTAAGCCTGGGTAAGAATTTGAACTTCCTAGAGGTTCAAAGGGAAGCCACTAGCTGATTCTTAGTAGGGGGATCGTGTGATCAGCTCTTGAAGGTGGAAGTAGGTGGGGTGGGGTGGGAAGGAAGTGGAGAAACAATAGAAGGCTCTTACATTCACCTGGGCTTCCCTGGTGGCTCAGCAGCCAAGAATCTGCCTGCCGGTTTGAAACCAGGAGACTCAGGTTTCATCCCTGAGTTGAGGAGATCCCCTGGAGAAGGAAATGTGAACCCACTCCAGTATTCTTGCCTGGGAAATCCCATGGACAGAGGAGGCTGGCAGGCTACCATCCATGTCGCCAAGAGTTAGACCCATCCTAGCGACTCAACAACAACAACACAGTATTCACCCAGGGAAGAGACTAGGATGTGATGTGGAGATGGGGAGTGAGCTGAGTCTTGATACGTGTCAGAGGGAGAGTCAGAGGATTTTGTGATTGACTTGGGGCTGAAAGTAGGCTGGTAAGACGGAGAGAAGACTGCAGGATAGCGTCTGAGCTGTTTCACTTGAGGAGCTGGGTGGTGGTGGTCCCATTGGTATTGGGGAAGGGAATAGACTCAATGGGGTGGTGAGGGGTGGAAGCAAAAGTTCTGCCCTGGCCCTTTAANAGAAGACTGCAGGATAGCGTCTGAGCTTTTTCACTTGAGCAGCTGGGTGGTGGTGGTCCCATTGGTATTGGGGAAGGGAATAGACTCAATGGGGTGGTGAGGGGTGGAAGCAAAAGTTCTGCCCTGGCCCTTTAACTTTGAGATTTCGTTAAACATCCGAATTGTACCAAGTGGGCAAGAAATAATGGTGACTGCGACTAGGACAGAGGTGGTGGAGGTGGGAAAATGGTGGAACTAAAGTCTGTAGTTCCTGGTTGGTGATTTTAGATAGATAGGTAGAGACATTGATACATAGTTAAAGCCTGTTGGACTGGATGAGATCATTGTGGCCAATGGATAGCAACTTACTTCCATGGGTTAAATCTTGCCCCCTGCTTGTTTTCGTATGGCTCAGGAGCCAAGAGTAATGTTTGCATTTTTTAAAATGTTAGGGAAAAAAATCAAAGAGTCATAATATTTTGGACATGTGAAAATTGTATGAAGTTCAGATTTCAGTGTTCATAAGTAAAGTTTTATTGGAAAGTAGCCGTACATGTGCTTTTGTGTATTGTCTGGCTGCTTTCACACTACAGGGCAGAGTTGAGTAATTGTGTATGACTCACAGAGCCTGAAGTATTTCATGTCTGACCCCTGATGTAGGATCTAGGTGTACAGGAGAAGTGGGCTTAGGGACGGATCCCAGTCTTACAAACATTTAAGTGCGGTCAAAAGTTGAAGCACAGAAGAGGGGGCTTGATTTTTATGTCCGTTTTTTTTTTTTTTTTTCCAATTACTTGTCAAAAAGTGACCCTGGTGATTGGGGCTTAGAGAACTGAGAAGTTGGGGGTATACAGTAAGAAGAATGCATCTGCTGTTTCTTTTATGAGGTCTCGGGAGACCATGTGATTTACAAAATAACTCAGCCTCCTTGTATTTGAATAGCTCTTTATCTTTGTCAGTTCATCTTGACTGAGATCAGTAGGTGATGTACAACCTGGGTAACTGTAGTTCTCAGATCTGTGTTTTTGGTACGTCATTGGCGCATCCTCTGTCATCCCCTTCTGCTGCCCTCAATCTTTCTCAGCATCAGGGTCTTTTCCAATGAGTCAGTTCTTCACATGAGGTGGTCAAAGTACTGGAGCTTCAGCTTCAGCATCACTGATGCAATGGACATGAATTTGAGCAAGCTCCAGAAGTTGGTGATGGACGGGTGAAGGACAGTTGGCGTGCTGTAGTCTGAGGGGTTGCAAAGAGTCAGACACGACTAAGCAACTGAACTGAATTGACATGTGGTTCAGGCTTTGAAGTCGGATAGAATATTTTGAATCAAGATTGCAGTGGAAAATAAAGAATATAGTATAGCCATTAATATAAACCTGTAGTTTTTAGGTTTAAAAGTTATGTAACTCAATTCAGTGCCTTATTCCTTATAAGGAAATACAGCTTGTGTAATGAATTTAAGAGAAAGCCAGGAATTCCCCCTGCTATTCCATTTGCTTTAAAGATCTTTTAGCTAAGGTCATGGGTAGACAGCTGAGAGTATAAGGTAATATACTAGAGCAGAGAGTAGACAGTTTCAGTTTGTGTACATGCAAGAATGCAGTATTAATCAGTGAATTTGATTCTTTTACAGGAACATACACTGATAGGTTCAGCAAATTCCCAAGACATCCAACTGTGTGGCATGGGAATTCTCCCTGAACATTGTATCATAGACATCACACCAGAAGGCCAGGTTATGCTGACTCCTCAAAAGAACACCAGGTAATGTACTTCATTTAGTGTTGATGTCACAGTAATTTTTAAGAGGGAGAAAGTACACTAACTGAGGGTGGTATAAGGTTGTTTGGCCTTGGTTTTGGCTTTTACATTCACTTAATGAAGATAGTTAGTTACCAAGTCCTTAGTAGTTAACTTGTTTTTCTTTTTTCATGTTTATTTTTAATTGGGGAGAAATTGCTTTACAGTGTTGGTTTCTGCCATACAACAGTGTGAATCAGCCGTAAGTGTACGTATATTCACTCCTTTTGAACTTTCTGCCAGCACCCTACCCCAGCCCACCCCCTTGGTTGTCACAGACCAGGGAGCCGCGGCCCCTGTGTTATTCAGCGGCTTCCCACTAGCTATCTGTTTTACACATGATGATGTGTATGTTTCCATGCTACTGTCTCAGTTTGTGCCACCCTCTCCTTCCCACGCTGCGGCCACAGGTCTGTTCTCTGTGTCTCCATCGCTGCCCTGCAGATAGGTTCGTCAGTACCATTTTTCTGGATTCCATAAATGTGTGTTAATGTGCAGTGTTTGTTTTTCTGACATTCTTCACTCTGTGTAACAGGCTCTCGGTTAACTTTTTAATATCACTTAAACTCATCCTTCCTCTCTGTACATACTAACGTCACCTTATTTAAGTAAGGCCTCTCTCAAATCTTTTTTTTTTTTTTAACCATGCTGTGCATGACTTGTGGTATCCTAATTTCCCGACTAGGGATTGAACCGAGGCCCTGGGAAGTGGAAGTGCAGAGTCCTAACCGTTAGACCATCAGCGGATTCCTCCCTGCCCCCCAATCAAATCCTGCTTGGAACCCCTGCCAGCAGCCTGATCTTCTTTCTGGTCCCTGCTGCATACATCCAGATGGCTTTTGGCTCTTCCTGATACAAAGTTCTTCACGCCCCTCCTATTCATCTCCTCTTCCTCTGCAGCTGCTGTTCCTCTGGCCAGCTAACTCCCGTTTGACCTTCAAGGTTAAGCTCTGTCATTATCTACTTGAGTCTAAAATAAGGGCCCCCCAGTGCATATTCCTAGCGCATTCTGTGCTTCCTGTTAGGTTAACACTGCATGCTGTGTTCTTGTGGGCTGCTAGCCTCTGTTACCGCTTGGGCCTGGGGGTCCTTTGAGGAAGAGGACCTTTCTTTATTGGTTTTCTATCCTTGGCGCAAGATGTCAGACTAATATTAGAGGAGGAAATGGCAACCTACGCCAGTATTCTTGCCTGAAAAAATTCCATGGACAGAGGAGCCTGGTGGGCTGTGGTCCATGGGGTTGCAAAGAGTCAAATACTATTGAGCACACACATACACACGCACCAGACTAATAATCCAAGTGCTCAGTAAGTAATGAAAAGGCATAACACTATACAAACTAAGTTTTTGTTGGTTTGTCTCCTTCAGCTTTAAGACTGGTATTGTCTTGCTGTGTAGCTGTCTATGTAACTATTATAAGTGACGGTTAGTTGATATACTGATCTTCTAAATGCTGATTCATCATTGTATTTAAAAAACCATTAATATCATCACTGATTTCACCCATAAAGTCTTTAAATGTTTGGAAGCTATCAAGCTCATGGTGAAGGATGCAAATGAGGAAGAAGAAAAGAGCGTAACCTGGCTTGCACAGGCATGCTCTTCTCCCATTAAATACTCTCACAGACACCAAGCCCAGAGAAGGTTACTCTGAGGCTGTGACAGAATAAGATGAAACAGGTCATATAAGAATTTTGTTGCAGCAGAGACAAAAACCAAGGTCACTGTGTGCTCACTCAGTCATGTCTCTCTCTTTGCGACCCCATGGACTGTATCCCTCCAGGTTCCTCTGTTCATAGAATTTTCCAGGCAAGAATACTGGAGCAGGTTGCCATTTCTTCCTCCAGGGGATCTTTCTGACCCAGGAATTGAACTTACATCTTTTTGTGTCTCCTGCATTGGCAGGCAGATTCTTTATCACTAGCACCACCTGGGAAGCCCGTGGTCACTATGCCACACCCAAAATACCAGACACCGCTCAACCGATGTCTGTGGCTATTTCTTTACCAATTACAACTTCATCCTCGTCTCCTCTCTAGGAATAAGATTTTTGACAAACCCAATCATAGAATTAGTCCTGCTCTCTGACAGCATCCAATATATATAGGACTCCCACCTCCTTAGGCCATCACCTGGGTTGTCCAGCTGAAGCCCATTCCTTGCAGCAGCCCCCCCGCCCGTCCCCATGCCCCCCTTGCTGACACCCCCAGGCTTCCTGTGGTGTCTTCTCCCTTTGTATGAGTAGTAAACCTAACCGGCTCAACTACGGGACTGATCGACACAAATTTCCTGAAACTCTTAATTTTCACTTGAGAGCTTGACAACAAATACTGTCAATTACTTTGGTCAAGTGACAGGCTACCTTTGTTCATTTTCAAGAAAATGTGCCAGAAAACCACTTTGTGTGTGTCTTTGCTTGAGACAGTCATCATACTTCAGCATGCTTCAGCACAGAGCTTTGTATGCTTCTCATGTTGCCACCTCGAATGTTTTAAGAAGTTGTGTACTGCTCAAGGGTCAAGATTTACCAAAAGTAGTCATTTTAAAATTTTATTGTCATAAATTTATTTTTACTTTCTGATTTTTAAAAAATTTTTATTGGAGTACAGTTGATTTTTATTCCTTCATCAAGGACCTTTTCAAATGAAACATTTTTACAAATTGTGAGTGTAAAGCAGCGAATAATCCAGTAACTACTAATAAGTGTTTGGTGCCATTGCCTTGATTTGTGCAAAAACACCAATAATTTTATTCTCTGCCAACACATATGTAAACACAGTGAAAAATGGCAGGTTAGTGTTGTTACACAAATAAATTTGATCTTTGGGACCTTCTGCAGACCACACTTTGAGAACTGTTATTATAGTCATGCTTTTATTTATTAACTGCTGGAGCTTTAGAACATAAGCCTGTATGTGTTTGCCTTTAATTAAACTCCTCACTGTATTTAAGGAATTTGTGTCATACAGGCTAAAAATCGGCTACTTTTAGTAGGTCCCCGCTTGGTCATTGCTCTATTTTTTGAGCTCATGCTTTGAATAAATCAGACTATAGGAACATAGAGACCAATTACTTTTAGTCTTTAAAGCCCACATGAGCTTTCCTGGTAGCTCAGTGGTAAAGAATCCACCTGCCCATGCAGGAGACACAGGTTCGACCCCTGGTCCGGGAAGATCCCACATGCCGTGTGGCAGCTAAGCCCGTGTGCCACAACTACTGAGCCTGTGCCCTAGAGTCTGGGAGATGCAACTGCTGAGGCCCTCACCCTGGAGCCTGTGCTCCACCAGGGAAGCCACCCCAATGAGAAGCCCACTCACAGAATAGTCCCTGCTCACCACCACGAGAGAGAGCCTTCATAGCAACGAAGACCCAGTACAGCAGAAAATCAAAAAATGTTTCAGAAGTTGTTAAAAGCCCACATGGTAAGTGGAGTCTAGATGCAGAGTAAGGTTCTGTCTGTGCATATACGTTAAAAATAACTGTCTGTACAAAGCCAGGTGAGTGCTTTAGGAATTTAAAGAGATTAAGGTAATATAGGCTGGAGTGACCGAGGAAGTAGAAATCAAACTGGGCTTTGGAGAAATCAAACTGAGCTTTGCGAGGAATCAAACTGAGTTGAGACTCAGGGGGATGAAGAGGAACAGGAGTGCTCTTCCTGGTGATAGGACTGGGACAACCCTCACTTTGGAGGAAAGGAAAATCATTGTCTAGTGGACAGAGCATAACACCCTCCCCCTGTTTTTGATTTTTCTGGAGTTGAGAATTCACTGGAACAGGGAAAGAAGAAGATTAAGAGGGTTTCCTTTTGCAGGGCCTTTAATGTCAAATTAAAGACCTTTATCCTCTAAGCAGATGAGTCACTCAGTGGGAGAGACATGATGACAGAGATATTCCAGTAATATCCGCCTTATAATGGTATATGTGATTTTCTATTTAGTTCTCACCCCTCTGAAGTTTTTCCTTAATAATCTTCTGCCCACCATTTCTTGTGTTGAACTGCATTGTCAGGGTGAGCAGTCAGGTGGACCTTATAGCTCTTCTATATTGATAGGATATAGACATTTTTCTGTGCTGTTGGAAGTTAAGAATTGAACAGATCTCATTTCTAATTACTGCCACTGTTTAGTTTAGTTCTGAGTTTAGTTGGTTGATTGGCTTCTTCTATCTGTGTAGATTGGACATGCTTGTTCTAGTTGTCATGTACACTGCCACTGTCTTTGTATCATTAGCTGTAATGGTTCCATATTTACTCCTTAATATGCTATATAACAAGTTTAGAACTTTGAAAAATAGAAGTTAATAATTTATAGCACTTGGTACCATGGGCATTTTAGGTAAATCAGCAAAGAAGGAAATAAAAAAAATAATTCGCCAAGGGCGTTTTATTTTGGGGGAATTGGTTATTTTACTTTTCCTGTACTGGAGAAATTAAAGGAGAGGATATGATAATTATTGCTCACATGTTTGGCCTCTTCTCTCCACAGAACATTTGTAAATGGCTCCTCTGTATCCAGTCCTATTCAGCTGCACCACGGGGACAGGATATTGTGGGGGAACAACCACTTCTTCAGGTACGACGGTCATGCTCTTAAAGAGGGAGGTGCTCTGAAACAGAAAAAGTGCATTAAAAAGTAAACTTAATGCCATAAATATTATGTATTGGTTTGTGCATACATATATATTGATATTTATTCAGTATACTACATGCTTGTTCCCTATACGGCTTGAGCCTGAGGGACGCATGAACAGTGCATTCAGAAGAAATACTGATTGAGTTACATATTTTTAAATTTTATTTCCCAATGGAAGATGATTGTTTTGCCATATGGCATCTTATTATTTTTCTGACATGCTTATATTTTTATTTTTTGAGTAGTGGTTTTAGTTTCCTTGTCTAAGAAAGGAGGCTCGTGTTTTATTTAGGATTGCTCTCAGCTGCATTTAATGGCAGATTTGACTCTGGGTTAAACAGTTCCTTTCTCTGACAAAACGGGGACTCCCAAGGAGGACGGTTGTTGGCATTGGCTCAGGCTCTCAAAAGAGTCATGGCAAAGTCTTGTCATTGTCTTGCCTCCTCCCTGTGGCCTAACGATGACCACTCCCCTCCGGGCATCAAAGCAGCACTCAGACACCCCGAAGAAGGCAAGGTTGAGGGGTGGCGGGACTCGCCCTGACTATCCTGAGCAGAAGAAGCAGGAGTCTCCCCAAAGTCCCCAGTGACCTTCCTCTGACCCCTCACGTACTAGAAGTTGCTTCTCAGCTGCAAGGGAGGCTGAGAAAGTCTGAGCTGGGACTAGACCATCTTTTCCCATACAAAACTGCTGTTGTGTTGGTGAGGACCAGCGGGCTGGATAGAGTATAAAACTTAAGTCACTGGCACTTGTGTTTCAGATATCAAGCTGACTCGATCCTTTGCTGGTGGGCCAGCTGCTATCGTGATTACTTCTGAGAGAGTAGAGTATGTGGAAAATGTTGTTCATGTTTTTCTTCTCAAATTAAATCAATCATAGATTGCTTGGCTTAGTGTACAGAGCCTTCATAGTTTGGATTAGGTTGATTTTTCTACCATTATCTCTCACAACTTTTGCTGTACAGATTTTGTGTATCTCTATGTTTTATTTATCATTTCTCCAGAGGCTGTGAGGGTTTCCATTTTGCCTCAGTCCTAACGCCCTGCTTTCTCCTCACCTCTTAAGGCTCAGCTCAGATGAGTTCCTGTTCTTTCATCCCTTCCTCTCGTATCCCACTGTGAGGTTACTGTTGTTGTTCAGTTGCTAAGTTGTGTCTGATTCTGTGACCCCATAGGCTACAGCACACCAGGCTTCTCTGTCCTTCACTGTCTCCTGGAGTTTGCTCAGATTCATGTCCATTGAGTTGGTGATGCTGTATAACCATCTCATCCTCTATCGCCCCCTTCTCTATTTGCCTTCAGTCTTTTCCAGCATCAGGGTCTTTTCCAGTGAGTCAGCTCTTCACATCAGGTGGCCAAAGTATTGGAGCTTCAGCATCAGTCCTTCCAATGAATATCCAGGGCTGATTTCCCTTAGGATGGACTGGTTGGATCTCCTTTCAGTCTAAGGGACTCTCAAGAGTCTTTTCCAGCACCAAAGTACAAAAGCATCAGTTCTTCATCACTCAGCCTTCTTTACGGTCCAACTCTTGCATCCATACATGACTTCTGGAAAAACCATAGTTTTGACCATATGGACTATTGTCGGCAAAGTGATATCTCTGCTTTTTAATATGCAGTCTAGGTTTGTCGTAGCTTTTCTTCCAGGGAGCAAGTGTCTTTTATTTTCATGGCTGCAGTCACCATCCGTAGCGATTTTGGAGCCCAAGAACATAAAATCTGTCACTGTTTCCACTTTTTCCCCTTCTATTTGCCCTGAAGTGATGGGACTAGATGCTGTGATCTTCGTTTTATGCATGTGGCATTTTAAGCTAGCTTTTTTACTTTTTTTATTGGCACATGTGTCTTGTTTGTTTTATTTCTGCTACTGGAATATAAACTTCTGAGTGTAGTGAAAAGTGAAAGTTGGTCAGCTGTGTCTGACTCTCTGCGACCCCATGGACTATACAGTCAATGGAATTTTCCAGGTCAGAATATTGCAGTGGGTAGTGGTTTCCTTCTCTAGGGGATCTTCCCAACCCAGGGATTGAACCCAGGTCTCCTGCATTGCAAGGGGATTCTTTACCAGTTGAGCAGTTGCCTTCTATTTATAGTATCCCCTTGGCATCTAGCAAATGCCACTATTTAATGACTGGAATGAATAAATGCATACCTTTTTTTTTTAAAGATAATATTCTTTTTTCCTCTCAAGACTTAATTTGCCTAAAAAGAAAAAGAAAGCAGATCGAGACGATGAGGAACAAGACATATCCATGAAGAATGACACCAGTTCTGAGCAGCTGGATGTTGACGGAGACTCGTCCAGTGAGGTGTCCAGTGAGATCAACTTCAATTATGAGTACGCCCAGATGGAGGTGACCATGAAGGCGCTGGGCAGTAATGGTGAGCAGACCTGTTTTGCTTTTTAGAGTCTTTCAAAGTCGCTGGACTGGTTAGAGATACTTATATTGGACATGTTTTAAACATTAGCAAAAAGACATCTTCATGATGTTCCTCTGTACTCAATTCTTTTGTGGCTTTGGCCTAAGTGTATTATACTTATAAAAACTTGTTCTTTCTGCCTTGATATATAAGTCACTTCAGACTGTTCTCATTGGTAGAATTTCTCAGGTTTGAGACTTGACTGTCCCTGGCTTATTATTGTAGTGGATTTCTGGAGCATTGACTCTGTCTTAGGTTATGTGTAGACCATACAGTCGACCTGCTTTTTCTATACAGAAGATAGTTTAGCAAGTATCTGACAGAATAGATAATACGGTTAGTAATTGGGAGTAAGGAAAGCTAAACTGTCTTTAAGAATCTTACGTCTTACGTTATTTGTTTTTCTCTTTCTGACTGACCTTACTCTTTATGAAAGACTCAGTGTTCACCCACATCTCTACAAATGACCCAGTTTCTTTTTTAATTTAATTTTATTTTTTATTTTTTTCCCAATTATTTCTATTAGTTGGAGGCCAAATGACCCAGTTTCGAGCGAGGCTCAAGAGGGAGGGGATGTACATGTGCTTATGGCTGATTCACATTGTTATACAGCAGAGACTGACACAACATTGTAAAGCAATTATCCTCCAATTTAAAAAAGTTAAACATTAATTAGGGTGACAAACCACAGTATAGAGCAGCATTTGATGTATGTTGTGTTGTGCAGTTAACCTTTTGTTTGTTATTTGCCTTAAAAAACCCACCTTGCTCAGATCCCATGCAGTCAATACTGAACAGCCTGGAACAGCAGCATGAAGAGGAGAAACGGTCTGCGCTGGAGCGCCAGAGGCTCATGTACGAGCATGAGCTGGAGCAGCTCCGGAGACGGCTGTCCCCCGAGAAGCAGAACTGTCGGAGCTCCGACAGGTTTTCTTTCCACTCCCCCAGCGCTCAGCAGCGACTGCGGCAGTGGACGGAAGAGAGGTGGGTGGACGGTAGGGCCCTTGCTACCTGTCGCCTTTAACCATCTGTGTAACGTATAGAGGGGAAGAATCTAGACCTTAATTCAAACATGAATGACACTGTAAGTGTTGCAGCTTGGAGCCACTTGGCCTTGTCTTTTTTGCCCCCATTTTGGGGGGATAAAAAGGGGGAGTTATCCATTTATACTAATGTATTTAAAGCCACCCCTCTTAGGCGCCATCCCATTTTCAGTGGATATAAGTAGCTTTTGGATTTGAATAAACTGGTGTGTGTACTCAGAAGTTATACTTTATTGTTGTATTATGCTTTAGGTTCTGAGGCTTGGGTAGATGGTTTTTTAAAAAAGGACAAAAAGAGAGGTGGTATATCAGGTATGTAAAGCATGGTGCCAGTAAGATTCAGATTGCAAGTTTGATCTTTATATGGGCTGATGAGCATTGCGCTGAATGTCTTCACCATGGTTACAGAGTGGACTTAACTAACCTCCTGCTCTTCCGGGTTTGGTCGGCAGACAGGTAGTATCTCTGTCACCTGGAGATTGACAGAAATATAGCATTTCAGGTCTCGCATCCTAGACACGGGCTTTCCAGGTGGGTCAGTGGTAAACAACCCACCTACCAATGCAGGAAATGTGGGTTTGATCCGTGGGTCGGAAAGATCCTCTGGAGAAGAAAATAGCAACCCACTCTAGTATTCTTGCCTGGGAAATCTGATGGACAGAGGAGCCTGATGGGCTACAGTCCACGAGGTTGCAAAGAGCTGGACTCGACTCAGGGACTGAGGATGCACAGCAGGGATCCCAGATATACTGAGTGGAAATCTTCAGGTGATTTGTATACAGTCAAGTTTGCCAGCCCTAGCCTCGGCCAGCCTCCCCCAGGAGCGTGTGCCAGCGCTTGTAACATGGCCCACGTTCGGGTGCATGCGCAGGGCAGTGCCGCAGGTGTAGTCCCTGTGTGCAAAAGACAGGCGTAAAGCTTGGTTCGCAGCTTGGCCTTCGTGTTTTATGTGCTATATAATATTTCCATGTGCTGCTCTAATGTTTATCCCCTCCCCCTTTTATTTTAAAGAGAAGCAACACTGAGTAACAGCCTGATGAGGCTGAGGGAGCAAATTGTGAAAGCCAATCTGCTGGTGAGAGAAGCTAGTTACATCGCGGAAGAACTGGATAAACGAACAGAATATAAAGTAACCCTCCAGATTCCCGCCTCCAGTCTTGATGCCAACAGGAAGGTGGGGTTGCTGTTAATGAAACGACTAAAGATACCGTTGTATAAAACAGCTTCCTGTTTCACCAGGGTTATTTAAACACTGGGAGCAGGGAGTTTGCCCTCATCCCCGCCCATATCCTCCACAGTCTAGGTCATTGGAACCTGTCTGCCTCTCTTGAACGGAATTACTTCCATATAATTCTCTTTGTGTATAAATGGTTTTATCCACTAGAAATATCCTCTTCCACCACCATCCCCAGATCTACCAACTTCTTTTTTTTTTTCTTTTAAATTTTGGCTGTGCTGGGTCTCTGTTGTGGTGGACGGGTCGCTCTAGTTGTGGCACAGGGACTTAGTTGTCCTGGGACATGTGGGATCTTAGTCCCCTGACGGGGGATTGAACCCATGTCCCCTGCCTTGGAAGGAAAATTCTCAATCACTAGACCTCTGGGGAAGTCCCTATAGCCATTTCTTTTACTTAACTCCTATTTTCAAGTTTGTTTAAATTATTTGCGAGAAGTCTTTCCTGATGAATCTTCCCCAAGTGGTTCTTCCCTTCATTCTGCTCCCCTATCCTTTCCTACCCCGCCCAACTTAAGGGTTCATTTTACCTGCAAGAGTGGCTTCCCACGTGGCTCGGTGGTTACAGAACGCGCCCGCCAATGCAAGAGACGCAAGAGATGTGGTTCAGTCCCTGGGTCGGGAAGATCCCCCAGAGAGGGAAACGGCACCCCACTTCAGTACTCTTGCCTGGAGAATTCCAAGGACAGAGGAGCGTGGTGGGCTCCAGTCCAACCCATGGGGTCTCAAAGAGTCAGATGCAACTGAGTGACTAACACTTTGACTTTCACACTTTACCAATAAAATGTTATCTTCTACTTGTCAATAGATGACATGGAAAAAATGTCCACTAGTTGTTCTCTGTGAGTATCCAAGGTCACAGATTTTGTTTTTTTTTTAATAATGTTGTTGTTGAGGTACCAAGTCATGTCTGACTCTTTGTGACCCCATGGACTGTAGCCGACCAGGCTCCTCTGTCCATGGGATTTCTCAGGCCAGAACACTGGCATGGGTTGCCATTTCCTTCTCCAGAGGATCTTCCTAGCCCAGAGGTTGAACTCAGGTCTGCTGCCTTGGCAGACAGGTTCTAATGTTCTTCCCTTCCTTCCGCTTTTCTGCCATCCTTTCCTATCCTGCCCAACTTAAGTGTTCTCTTACCTATAGAATGTTATCTTCTACTTGTCAATAGATGGCATGGCAGAACTGTTCACTAGTTGTTTAATGTAAATATTCAAGGTCACAAAAGTTTCTTTTGTATAATGTAAGAAGTCTAATAAACGTATGGGGGAAGTTCAGTTCAGTTGCTCAGTCACGTCCAACTCTTTGCGACCCCGTGGACTGCAGCACGCCAGGCCTCCCTGTCCATCACCAACTCCCGGAGCCTGTTCACACTCATGTCCATAGTGTTGGTGATGCCATCTCATCTTCTGTCATCCCTTTGTCCTTCCGCCTTCAATCTTTCCCAGCATCAGGGTCTTTTCTAATGAGTTGGTTCTTCGCATCAGGTGGCCAGAGTGTTGGAGTTTCAGCTTCAGTATTGGTCCTTCCAGCAAAATCACTTCTTGCCATTCAGTTGTTTTCTTTCTTACATGGGTTTCTTTTATAGTTCTCGGATCATTTGAGTACATACTTTTTTGTGGATTAGGTAGGATTTTGTATTCAGATATTCATTCCCTAGCTGGCTGAATATAAGGTAGAAGGGCCTTTACCATATGTGAGAGTTTGGTAATTCTTGAACTTCACAGTTCTAAAATCCTTTCTTCATTATGTAAATTCTGTTTCTTTGGAACTAATAATAGGCCAGATGTTAAGGCAACACTGAGTGTCTTTCAAAATTCTCTATAAAGTTCTAAGCAGACAGAACAGTTTTTTAAAAATTCTAATAAATCTCGATTGATTAGAGATCTGCTAGGTCCATCTCTCTGAGGGAGATATACAGAAGCATTTTTACTTTCTGCTCTGTGATTTCCAAAAGTTTAAAATTTTTGCCTACATAAAAGCACACTGCTTGGACTACCCGGGTGGTCCGGTGGCTAAGATTCCATGCTCCCAATGCAGGGGGCCCGGGGTTCAAACCTTGGTCAGGGAACTAGATCCCACATGCCACAACTAAAGGTCTATCATACCACAACAAAGACCCAGTAGAGCCAAATAAATTAATAAATATTTTAAAAAGTAGTAAAACCGTATTATATTTTTTAAAAAGCATGTTGCTTTTCTAAGCTGGGAGAATTCAGGGAGTACTGTTTCTTTTTTTCTGAGATGACATTCACATAGCATAAAATTAATATTTTAACGGGAACAATTCAGTGTCATGTAGTATGTTCACAATATTGTGTATAACCAGCATCTCTAGCTGGTTCTGTACTTTTTCGTTTTAAAGTATTTTTTGTTTGTTTGTGTGTGTGTGGCTGTTGGGGCTGTTTGGCTGTCTTCGTTGCCGCACGGCTTCTCTGGTTGCAGTGAGCTGAGACTGCTCTCTCACTGCGGCGTGAGGGGGTCTCACCGCGGCGTGAGGGGGTCTCACCGCGGCGGCGTCTCTTGTCGCAGAGCTCCGGCTCAGCAGTGGTGGTGCTTGGGCTCAGCTGCTCCGCGGCACGTGGGATCTTCCCAAATCAGAGATCGAACCGCATCTCCTGCATTGGAGGCAGATTCTTTACCACTGAGCTACCAGGGAAGACTTTAACTTTTTGATAATAAATCTAAACTGTGTATTTGGAAGTTGGTATCATTTGTTGCGTCCAGATGAGCAAACAGGATACTTTTCACAACTGACTCTTTTAATCACTTGTGTTTGGTACTGCAGTAAGACACTAGCCATTCAAAAAAATTGTCATTCAAACTTTTGAAAGAAAAAGATTCTTAACCATCCATTCCAGGAAACTTGCCCTTCTCATTCACTGCTTAGGACCCTCTTCCTCCCCTCTGGTTCTCTTTGGCCATATGATGGTGCGGTTAAGACACTTTTGTTTTCGGCCACACCGCATGGAATGAGGGGCCTTGGTTCCTCCACCAGGGATCGAACTCGCATCCCCTCAGAGGAAGCGCAGAGTCCTAACCACTGGACCACCAGGGAAGTCCCCCAGTTAAGACATTTTTGACTTTCCGTTAAACGTGATCTACTTTTCTGGGATTTAATTTATATTCTTAAATTTTGACTGCAGTTAGAAAGGATTATATTCAGCTTTTAAGATTTCTGGAAAGTTTCTCACTGAGCAGATTAAAGAACGATACGGTTTCCATTTCAGCTGGTGACGTTTGACGGGTGGGTGTATCAGTAGAATGTCGGGTTGATGCCCACGTTGTGCCAGTGTCTGCGTTTCACAGTCATTCTCACTGTCTTCACAGCGAGGCTCTCTCCTTAGTGAACCTGCCATCCAGGTGAGAAGGAAGGGAAAAGGGAAGCAGATCTGGTCTCTGGAAAAACTGGACAACAGGTTGCTGGATATGAGAGACCTTTATCAGGAGTGGAAGGAATGCGAAGAAGACACCCCGGTAGGTCATTTGACAAAAATCACTGAGCTGATCGTCACAGAAGGAACCATGCCGGAATGAGTCTTATCCATTTTAGGGAAGACCTGTTGAGTTTTCCCAAATACAGTTTCATAAATAAAATACTTATTTTAATCCTATAAATTGTTTAGCCAGTCAAGAATTTCAACAACCTATTTTTCTGGCATCCTCTTTTGTTTTCTCCTCGTTGGTGTCATCTGGATTTCTAGTAGAATCCTCTGTGTTCTCTCTGGCTTCTGTTCATATTATGCGTTTTTGAGTCCCATGGTTTTATTCAGAACAGAGACTGTCTTGTTATATCTTTTCCCATTTTTCAGCACACTTAACCTTGCAAATAATAAACCTACGACATCCGTATTTTTAATTGAACATCCGTGGTGCCTTAATATTTATACTATTAGGAACATTTTTTGAACACAGTTTGATCCTAAAGTAGGTGCTATAGATCTGAATTCTGGAACGCTCCCCTCAAATTGTAGGTTTGCTCATTTAGGTCAGCCATGAGCGTATACCTATTTGAAATAAGAATTATTCGTATATTTTCACTGCTGCTGGTCCTAGTACCCCGTAGAGTTGTTCCTTAGCCTCTTGTTTTGTAAAAGTTTTGTCAATAAAAATGACTTCTTAAAGTTAGGTGGCATTTTTTTCTTTCTTTTGTACTCCTCTCCCGTTTCAGCTTAGAGGTGAAACCATATTACCAACAAATAACAAAACGCAAACCACGATCCTGTAAAGAGGTCCCCTCTCATTGACAGCATCGTGTCTGATGTTTCGGTGGGAACAAGTAGAATAGATATGAATGAGACATGAGACATGGTTTTTCACTCTGCTGAGTTTTTCAGTCAGCCTGTGTTTTCTCTCTTTTCACGGCAAGGCTTCCTCATAAGGGAAAAGAAATGATGAAGCAGTGGGGTGTTATTGGTATCGCTGTCTCATGGATGAAGGGTGCTGACCATCACTCTAAGTGGGAATGAGAAAGTGTGTGTGTATGTTTGTGTGCGTGTATGCCTGCATGTGTAACACAGGGCTATACTTCACCTAAGTTATTAGACTGTGTCAAGAAGTGATGGGTTGAATTCTTCTGTTTTAAGTGATTTTCTGAAGTTGTATGTTTCACGTCTCCTCAAAGGTGATACGGTCTTACTTCAGGCGTGCAGATCCATTCTATGACGAACAGGAAAATCACAGCCTCATTGGGGTGGCCAACGTCTTCCTGGAGTCCCTCTTCTATGATGTGAAGTTACAGTATGCCGTGCCGATCATCAACCAGAAAGGAGAGGTTAGTTTCTCCTCGTGCCTTATGTCCTGCAGAGAGCAGTTCAGGAAAACGAGGTGGTGACAGTAAGCTGTCATTAACAATTTCCCATCAGTAACAAGTGCTCTCTGTGTATTTTCAATGCCTGTGTTTGCATACTGCTTGTCGGTGATTACTCCGAGTGCTTGAGGAAGAGTCGCCGTTAGAGCCTGTTCCACCGTCGGCTGCCCTCACTTGACTCTCAGACGGATGATGGCCGAAATGCAGAGCGAGGATCTTCTTTTGCTTTCCCTGCTGCAGGTGGCCGGCCGGCTGCACGTGGAAGTGATGCGCCTCAGTGGTGACGTTGGGGAGAGGATTGCCGGGGGGGACGAGCCCATGGATGCTTCCTTGGATAAGGAGACCCAGGAGAACAGGCTCGTATGCATGGTGAGTCCTCGTCTCATTCAGCAGTAGTACATGATTTCAGAGTGTTTCCTGTGAGGTTATACAGTTATCAAAGATGGAAGCATAGCCTTGCTGACTCCATCTGTAATAGCCCACTGTAATAGAGATGGACCAGACATGCCACCCTGTGAAAGATGAGTGTGTGAAAGTTACCGTTAGTGAAGTAGCATAGGAGAATACTGTCTTCCTCGGAAAGTGGGCTTCTGTCACTGGGTAACTTAAACTTAAAAAGAAAAATAACAGTTAAAACGTAGTATGATTTGTTTATGAAAGAGATCAAACATACAGAAAAGTAGTGAGGAGACTGTTATTGACCCCCACTCATCCTCCCTCGGCAGCCATCAGTTCCTGGTCAGTCTTGTCTTATTCATGTATACATGCTGCTTCTCCATGTCCCCTTCCCCTGGATTATTTTGAAGCATCCCAGACATCGTATTTCATCAAGAATAGTTTAATATGTGTCTCCAGAAGAAGAAAACTTAAAAAAAGAAACCCAGCCTAGCCAGGATATACCACACTCAAAAATTAATACTTCTTTAACGTTGTGAGATAATCATTCTCGTTGGTCATGTGGGCTGATGTGTCTCTGGTCTGTTTTATGTTTTGCTCTTCAGGCTCTGGCCCATGTGCTTGCTCCCCACTGTGCGCACGCACCTTCTTTCCCATCTTACGCTTTGCTTAGTGTAGACGCTGGGTTGTCATATTGCGTGGTCTCGTAGTCTGGGTTTTGCTAATTCTTTACTGGGTTGGGGTAGGCTTGCTATAAGTTGGGATCTAGATGTAAAGGTGACACGCAGAAGAGGAGTCAGGATGACACTTCATAGGGAGAATGAGGTGTCTGCTTCCATCAGAAGGCACATCATGCCTGGTTTTCTTTGGGGAGTGTTTGCTATCATTGATGGTTATCACCTAGATATTTCATTAGTAGTTGGAAAAGAGCAACACTGTGATTCTATCATCCCTTCATTTATTAGCTGGAATTGTGCTATTGAGTGACTCTTTCTGTCAAGTATCTTACTATTCACAGACACAGTTTTTATCAGAGAGGCAGGATGAATACACCATTCTCTCCCTTTATTTGACTACTTTTAAAAATAAATGGTTTTCCAAAAAAAAAAAAAAAAGTGGTTTTCCTTTTAACATCCAAAACTGACAAGTGAGGGTGTTTTTTTGGTTTGAGTCTTGTTATCATTATATGAACTCTTGGATTTAAATATACTTGATATGCTGTGATCTGTTGTATTTATTACCTACATCAAGGCTCAAACAACCCCATCTTTGGCCTGGGGGGGCCTCTTCAGTGGGCTCCTGGGTCCTTTGACGCAGCCCTAACCCCAGAAGCCGTGCCAGCCTTCCTACCTCGGTCTCGCACGGTCTGAACATTTCTCATCCCAGACCTGGAATCAGCCGTTTCTCCACGGAACTGGATTCCTTCCAGTAGGAGGTGGTTTTTAGAGACCATAGTCTGACATGTAATAGCTTTTTGCATAAAAGGAAGACAAATAAACTTTATGACAGTAAAATGTTTGTGGACAGAAACAGAAGAAACCCATTTGGGGACACTTAAGGTGTCACAGATGAGGCATTCCTTGGTGGTCAGTGGTAAAGACTTCGCCTTCCAGTGCAGGGTGTGTGGGCTTGATCCCTGGCCAGAGAATGTGTTTTGGGGCCAAAAACCAAAAGGTAAAACAGAAGCAATACTGTAACAGATTCAGCGAAGACTTAAAAATGGTCCACATCAAAATATCTTAAAAGATCACAGGTGTGAGTATTATTGACCCTTAAAAGAAGACTACATTTATTTTTCTGTGATAAAAAAGTATGTACATATTAAACATGTTGATCATTTTAATTGTATTAAATAAAATCAATATATTTGAAACTTAAAACAACTTCATTATCTCCCCACGTTTCTGGGCCTTACGTGTTGAATAGCAAGTCGAAGTCTGTGGTATTCTGCCACCTGGTGGTGATTTAGGTTTCTGCATGCAAGACCTTGAACCTGTGTTCTAGATAACAATCATTCCTGGTTTTGTTTATTCCCAGTACTCTTTATTCCTGGCAGTCTCATTCTGAGAAGTTGCCTGTGGATGAGAGTTCAGCATATGAAATCTTGCTTTGTCATTCATTTACATCTTGAGATTGATTTCTAAGAAAGAGAATTAGCTTTCAGATGGAATTCAGTCACAAAGAAGTGTGTACTGAATGTCCATCCAGTCAATGCCTGGTAGCGTTTTCAGTCATTGTGTTTCATTGGTATGGTTAGTTCTCACACATCTATCATTAGGCAGCTATCCTGTTTTGTATAGAAGAAAAACTGAGCCTAAGAAAACTAAGGATTTAAGCAATTTGTTTAAAAACAGAAGTCAAGAAGTAGCAGAGATTTATATTTAGATCTGTGTCCTCCAGAATCTTGTAGTCTTCCCAAATACCACATTGCCTCAACTTAAAGAATATAATACGTATTTTAAGCACTTAATGAGAAGGGGACGGTTTTTAAATGAAACTTTTAATAAAATTTTAACAAAAAGTTAATACCAATCACTCTATTTGTTTTGGACAAATAGAATTTGTTAGTTGATCATCTTCTAGAGCCTGGAAATTGCCCTCTAGATGTTTCACAATCTTGTTGCCATTATAGGAAAAACTGAATAATAACAAGAATCCCCATCCATTGCTTACCCATCACGTACCTGGCAGAGAAGAAAATAGTCATTTGCTTTGCATGGTTTTCTGTGTCATTATTAATACTTCCTGAAACAGTAAGACTTATATTTGTGGTNTTCATCCATCTCATTCATTAGAACTGATTCAAATGAATTCTTTTTAATGGCTGAGTAATATTCCATGGTGTATATGTACCACAGCTTCCTCATCCATTCGTCTGCTGATATCTAGGTTGCTTCCATGTCCTGGCTATTATAAACAGGTGCACACTGTTTTCATTCTTCATTCATCATTCTTAACAATCCTGTGTCCTTGTGCTATATCCATAGTTGGCCAGGTTTGTATGGTTAAGTGGTGTTGATGTTTGAGAACTTTCTTCTTAAGATGATGATATAAGAAACTAGAATTTTAAATGTTATTCTTCAGCCTGTAAATGCTTCAAAATGTCCACTTGTATATAGTCTAGGTCATTGCTATCTTAGGTCTACCTCTTGCTAAATATGGCATTTCACAGATGCAGAAATACGGCCCAGATTGAAAGGGACTGGGATGTGATCAACAAAAGGCAGCTGTTAGGGGCATAGTCAGGACTGGAACCTGTGTCTCTGACTCAGAGTTGGAATTACCTGGGTTAAAAACAGCCTTCCTTTTTCTTCAGGTGAAAATACTTCAAGCCACTGGGTTGCCGCAGCATCTGTCCCACTTCGTGTTCTGCAAATACGACTTCTGGGATCAACAGGAGCCAGTCATCGTTGCTCCTGAGGTGGACACCTCGTCTTCTCCCATCAGCAAGGAGCCTCAGTGCATGGTTGTCTTTGATCACTGCAATGTGAGTGTGTTTTCCAGACCTGGTCAGCGTTTAATTACTCAAGTCAAAGCAACATAAAAGTAACCCATATTTTATTGAGTAATTTGGTACCTATGTATGTCTTGGATCAGTTTGTTAGAGTGGTGAGAAAGAGAAAATGTTAGTCGCTAAGTTGTCTCCGACTCTTTGTGACCCCATGGACTATATAGCCCATCAGGCTCCTCTGTCCATAGAATTCTACAGGTCAGAATACTGGAGTGGGTTGCCATATCCTTCTCCAGAGGATCTTCCCGACCCGGGGATTGAACCCAGGTTTCCTGCATTGCAGGCAAATTTTTTACTTTCTGAGCCACAAGGGAAGCCCTTGGAGTCAAAGACTAAAGTGTTATCAGTGCACGGTATGTAGACCTTAAACTCACACAACGTTGTGTGTGTCAGTTACATCTCAGTAACACAATCCATGGGGTTGCAAAAGAGTTGGACGACTCAGCGGCTCAACACAGTCACAACAGCTGGGGAAAAACCCAGCTATAGTGTCAGTGCACGTAACTCCTCCACCATCAGAAGTTAACTTCTGTGTGACTGTGTATGTGTATATGGTACCCTTCTCCAAAAAAAAAATCCGTGTTTTGTGTGAGTTACTGGAGAAAGTGCCATCTGGGAAGGTTCAGGAAACTATTGTTTTAGAGAAAGTGAAGGTAGAAGAGTGGGACAAGAGAAAACATTTCAGGGCCCCCAACTTCTGTTCTGCAGTTTGCTGATGTTTCCCATAGCTCTGTTTGAGGACAGTGTTGTTTTTTTTTTTTAAATGGAGGAAGCCAGTTCACAGGTCATTTTGCCCACGGCTAGTAACTAGCAGAGCTGAGACTGTCAGATTCTAGATTCTCATTTTCTACTTTATCTCACTTGAGCTATCTCTTTATTTTCCAACGAGAGAGGTGTCTTTCTAATCTATTTAGCACATCAAAAGTCTTTCTGTTTTAAAGATTGAGAAAGAGGAGAGTCTATGACTTTTAAAAATAAATTATTTAAAAACTTAATCCTAATTATTACTAGAGACGGTTTCATATGTATCTTACAAAGATGGACAGATTTTTAAAAATTAGTTGATTTTTTTGCACAATGATAGTCACTCTTTCTTACTATCAGAGATCATTAACTTCCTAAAAACTAGGAAAAATTGTCCTACACACTACACTGCTGCCTTACTAGATATAATAACTTTTATATTAAGACATTGTAGATCAGTGTTGTCATTCTTCATATAATTATTTATGCTTTCAGAATATTGCTTTCAAAGTAGAATACAGTGCTGGTCTTTCACAGTAGATTTTTCAAGAAAAGTTTTTTTCTTGAAAAAAAAAAAAAAGATTTTTTTAAGAAAACTTGTAGTGAAAATTAATGACCTTGGGCCATCTGAGCATTCTTTATGGGCATTGGATGACAGTTTTGTGCTACAAGTAAAACATTCTCTTCTATTTCTCTTCTCCATGATGAAGTGAGGATATGATGTGAGGTGTATAATCAGGTCACTGGAAGGTGTTTCTTCTTCTGTGCTTATTTCCTTTCAGGAGTTTTCTGTTAGCGTCACTGAAGACTTTATTGAGCATCTTTCAGAAGGGGCATTGGCAATCGAAGTCTACGGCCATAAAATGAATGATCCTCGGAAAAACCCAGCCCTGTGGGATTTGGGGATTATCCAAGCCAAAACACGCAGTCTTCGGGACAGGTGAATTTGAGATATCCGTCCATCTGCTACCATTTGTAATTTTTTAAAAACTACTAGAGATTAATATTGCCATTTATAAAGATTACCACTTCCTGAACGTTTATCAATATTCCAAGGATAGATGATGTTATGTTCATGGTATTAATAGCACAGTTAAAATTCCTTAGAGGAGTGAACTTTTGAAGAGTGATGGGAAAAAGTTAAGAAATAGATAGTAAGAATAAAGAGTAAAATGAATTTTTGGAGAATATGTTCCTTATTATTATGATTTCATAATAGAAAGTTGATTAACAACTATTTCACAATAGAAGTTGATTAACTTCTAGTTAATCAACTGTGGAGAAGATGAATCAGGATATTCTCTGGAATTCAGAATTTCTTATTTTTATCTTTAGCTCAGAGTTCTTTTACCTTGTATCAATCATGAAAGGAGGAAGGCTTACTTGTTGACCAATATTTGAAACAGAAGAGTTCAAAGGAAAAGACTGAAAGAGCATATATTTGTACTGCCTCTAATTAGAGATGAGAACCAGATATTCTTCCTTCTTTTTAAAAGGTTTAGCAAATACTAAATTAGACCCAGAGATTTTTTTCTTTCTTGACTCTCTTACTGACCTCAGCAGAGGTACTTGTCAAGCCACTAAAGGATACAGTGCTACCCCTGTCTGTGAAAAGATCACCACTGCGAATTGCTTCTGTACTTCTGATAACAATGCTTAAATTTTTGAATAACCACACTGATATAGTTTGTAATTATCACACCTTTATGAATGACATAAAGGCATCATCTTTTTGTTCTGATACTGTTTGTTGAACTTTACTTTCAATCACATTTGCTAGGATGTACTTGTGTAATCCTCATTGAACTACAGAGGACTCTAATAATAACAGAGTTATTCTGTTTGGAGGTCATTTTCCTTGTTCATTCTCATGTGTAGGGTCCTAAGCTGCTTGTATTGAAATAGAAATGTATGATTTTCCAAGAACCTCAACTGTGTCCTAGGTGGAGCGAAGTCACCAGGAAAGTGGAGTTTTGGGTTCAAATCTTGGAGCAGAATGAGAGTGGTGAGCACTGCCCCGTAGAGGTGGTTCCTGCAAAGGACGTGCCGACAGGCGGGATCTTCCAACTCCGGCAGGTAATGAGACTGCGAACGCTAGCATGGAATTCTCTGGTACCATAAAGGTTAATATTGGATTCCTTCCAGTGGAAACATCCGTGATGATGAAACCTAGATTGGCCAAGATCATTTCTTCTGCTAAAGTCGTCTCTCACCTCATGTGTATTTTCTTTCATTTAAAAAAAAATGCTATCTGTAGTATTTAAAACCAACTTCTGTTAAGTTGAAGTAAGAAAAAGATAAGCTTTAAAGTGACTTAGAATTGAATTGTTGTTAGTAAAACAAACATATCAAGCAGCATTAGAGCATTTATAAAGACGTGGAGAGGCCGTGATAGGGCAGAAAGAACAAGCACTGTGGAGTCTGATATGCCAGGGTTCGGTTCCAGCTGTCCCATGGCCTCGCTCTGTATCTGTGAGCAAGTTCATCACCTTCTGGAATCTTGCCTCAGGTGTGATGTGGAGGGGATGATAACACTAGCCTTGGAGGGTTAGTGTGAGGATTAGAAACTCTGTATATGGAGCCCATTGCTAGAGACGGGGGAGGTGAGAAGTAGGGAGGCCTAAAGCCCACCAGCTCTCTGCTTCTTCATAGACATCAATAGGGTGTCGTGTAATTCAGTTCCTTTTATACCCTAACCCACCCAGAGTGAGCATCACACCACAGGTTTAAGGGCTCAGACTGAAGCACCCGACCGCCCTCACTTCAGATGCCAGCTGGGGCCCCAGGTCACCACCTTTCTGTCTGACTTGGCTGTAATCAGGGGTCCCTGTGACTCAGGTGGCGTAAGTTGCTGGTGTGTGTGTGCGTGCTCAGTCGTGTCTGACTCTTGGCAATCCCATAGACTGTAGCCTGCCAGGCTCCTCTGTCCGTGGGATTCTCCAGTCAAGAATACTGGAGTGCATTGCCACTTCCTTCTCCAGTAATCTTGCCTCAGGTGTGATGTGGAGGGGATGATAACACTAGCCTTGGAGGGTTAGTGTGAGGATTAGAAACTCTGTATATGGAGCCCATTGCTACAGACGGGGGAGATGAGAAGTAGGGAGGCCTAAAGCCCACCAGCTCTCTGCTTCTTCATAGACATCAATAGGGTGTCGTGTAATTCAGTTCCTTTTGGACCCTAACCCACCCAGAGTGAGCATCACACCACAGGTTTAAGGGCTCAGACTGAAGCACCCGACCGCCTTCACTTCAGATGCCAGCTGGGGCCCCAGGTCACCACCTTTCTGTCTGACTTGGCTGTAATCAGGGGTTCCTGTGACTCAGCTGGCCTAAGTTGCTGGTGTGTGTGTGTATGCTCAGTCGTGTCTGACTCTTGGCAATCCCATAGAATGTAGCCTGCCAGGCTCCTCTGTCCATGGGATTCTCCAATCAAGAATACTGGAGTGCATTGCCACTTCCTTCTCCAGGGGATCTTCCCCACCCAGGGATCGAACTCGTGTCTCTTACATTGCAGGCAGATTCTTTACTGAGACACCGGGAAAGCCCTAACAATGGACATGTGAAATCAGGGCAGCTAGGTAGATATGAATACCTGCCAGCAAGAAACCAGTATAGCAAAGACGTGTGTGAAAACTGTCACTTAACTCCAGACAGATGCAATCTATAGTATCTGTGCTGCAAATTAAAGATGAGAGAGAACATCTTAATAGAATTTACATTTAAGACTTACAAATACTTTTTTTTGCTATTCTTTACATGAAGTCAATGTTAAGGAGGTTATTATATCCTATGATAGTTTCCATACTTTAAGACAATAGTAAAATATTAGAATGGCTCAAGAAAATATTGAAATCATTCAAAGCAAAATATAAGGTTAAAGGCAAAAGAAAGTTTGCTTAAGTATTTCAGTTTCTGAATGTCTTGGGAGGAGGAAAATGATAAACACTTGTTTTCTGACCCTACTAAATGACTTGTAGCACATTCATTCACGTATGGACAAGGCACTAAAAGCAAAAAGAAATTAGTTTAAATTATAGTGTGAGATATATACATAAAATAGAATTCAGAAAGGCATGAAGAACATCTTTTCCTGAACATCTGTTGAAACTATATATCTTCTTTGGATGCCATAGAGATTCATCTCCTGGAAGGCAAGATCAGATACTTTTCTGTGGTTTGGTATAAATTGAATATTTAAGTGTTTGTCATACTTCTGGCAGCCTTTATTGAAAGTGATCAAAGGTATTTTGAATTTATCAGAAAAGGCTTTTTGAAGGATGTGTGTCTTGACTTGGATGGTGAAAGAATCATACCAAGCTGGAAAGGTTCTTCATATATAAATGGCAGAAATAGAGGGTGGATTAGGCACATTTGTGTAGAAAGTAATATATCGAAAGACCTGGAAAGCAGTAACAGAAGGGGTTATATAGGCTTGTGGGTTTCCCTGGTGGCTCAGTGGTAAAGATTCCGCTGCCAATGCAGGAGACGTGGGTTCAATCCCTGGGTTGGGAAGATCCCCTGGAGGAGGAAATGGCAACCTATTCTCTTTGCCTGGGAAATCCCATGGACAGAGAAGCCTGGCAGGCTATAGTCCATGGAGTCACAAAAGAGTTGGACAGTTGTTGGTGATTAAACAACAGCAATAGAGACTTGTGGCAGCTGCTTAATTCATGGAGGGCCTTGGATGGTAGGCATATTAGAATTTAATATTTTGGGTTGGCCCAAAAGGTTCGTTCAGGGTTTTCTATAACATGGTATGTGCAGGCTATAGTCCATGGAGTCACAAAAGAGTTGGACAGTTGTTGGTGATTAAACAACAGCAATAGAGACTTGTGGCAGCTGCTTAATTCATGGAGGGCCTTGGATGGTAGGCGTATTAGAATTTAATATTTTGGGTTGGCCCAAAAGGTTCGTTCAGGGTTTTCTATAACATGGTATGGAAAAACTCGAACATTTTGGCCAACCCAATATTTCAAAGTTGGAACCTACTGCTCTTGAATAGGAATTTTCAGAGGAGAACTTAGGGGATTAACCATATGCATTTGCTAGTTTTGTAGTTAAAAAATGGTGAAATAGCAGCAGTTACAAGAAATTCAATAGGTTACATATTCTGTTCAAAGCTTTTCTATGGAACATTAAGCCATTCCTGGATCTTTCCCCCCATTGTTCCCTCTCCTTTTCCTGTATCCTTCCCCAAAGTGTAGATACCCTTCACATTGGGGTACACATTCAGAACAGATCACTTTCTGTCTCAGCAAAGTAAAAACAAAAGGTAGCCAATTGAAATGACTAAACTATTATAGACAATTAAAATGTTTTTTGAGTTACTTTCTTCACAAAATATCTGATACATAGTCCTTGGAAAATATTAAATCAAAGACATCTGCAACCCATCTCTTTAAATCTAGCTTGATAGGATCAATCACTGCCTAAGTTGATTTTCCTGATGATGCAAAACTCTTGGGAATTAAAATCCAATGGAAGAGGGGAAGAGTGACTCAAAATTACATATTCTGATTCTGTTTTTCAAATTCTCTTTGACATTCCTAAAATTTATAAGCCAGCTTTGAAGTCAGTGATTGGGGGTACTGGGAACTTTCTTTTAAAATGCTACTTCATTGTAAATGTTCAAAATCATGTAGTATTTATTGTGAAAATGTGCTTAAAGAAGGAACACTGTCTTTCTGATCAGTTGTTTATTTTGCAACTTGGGTTAAAATTATTTTACTTGGGCATTAGAACAGTGAATTCAGTATAATATAATTGTTCTTATTAGGCTGATTACTTACTTCTTAAAGTGGATCTTTATAATACTGAGTTTGGTAATCAGCTTTTTTAAAAAAGAAGTCTAGTTAACATCTGCCACCATACTCTAACTTATATATCATGTATGTTTTTCTATAGCAATATTTTAATGTTTACAGTATATATTTCACTAATATACTATAGATAGTTTATATTTCATTAATATACTAGAGCTTGTGTTATGAGTATTGTACATTTAATTTACACCTAATTTTTTGTTATTCATTGTGCTGTAAGATTCTTTATGTGCATGTATGATTATTAAAACAGATTCCTAGAAAGTTGAAGAGCTGAGTCAAATGAAACTTATTTTTTAAGGCAAACTGCCCTGCAGAAAGCTTTACCAATTTACCAAGGATGTGTGTCTTGACTTGGACGGTGAAAGAATCATACCAAGCTGGAAAGGCTCTTCATATCTAAATGGCAGAAATAGAGATAGAGGGTGGATTAGGCACATTTGTGTAGAAAGTAATATATCGAAAGACCCGGAAAGCAATTTATATTCCCTTTACCAATTTATATTCCCTTTACCAATTTATATTCCCACCCACAGTGTATGTAATTGCATTTTTCATAAACTTTGGGCAATATTATAAATTGCCTTTCTAAACAATAATTATTAGTTTAGAGAAAGTAAAGGTATTTCATGCTTATTTTAATTATTAGTTTAACATTTTATATTATTTTGCTTATTAGTAAATTGAACATTTTGTATTATCTAGCATTTTGCATTTCCTTGGTTAGAATGTTTTTTTTTGTTCGAAAAATATGTAAACTATAGATTTGTTCTTGATTAGTTTTTTAATTTGTGTTTTACTACTAAATGTGTAAGATTCAGTACCTTGAAAGCTAAATGCTTTTCTCAACATTCGCCTGTAGGGGTCTCTCTAAACCCAAATTTTGGAGCTCAGACCGATTTTAAGAAACTTAAAATTGTGTGTGGTGCAGGGGCAGTCCCGGCGAGTCCAGGTGGAAGTGAAGTCTGTGCAGGAATCGGGGACTCTGCCGCTGATGGAGGAGCGTATCCTGTCGGTCGGCATCGGGTGTGTGAAAGTCAGGGCGCCACGGTCACCGAAGACCCACGAGACCGTCCATGTGAGTCTCGGGACAGAGCCAGCCAGGCCAGAGTCTTCTGGAACCTGTCAGAAAACTGCCTTTCATGAACAGTTCTTTTCAGTATTTTGTTTTCTTTGATATCTCTTTTTCTTTTCATCCTCTTTTTTAAAAACTGTATTGCATTTGCATAGAATCACTGCCCCAGACTGTTGGTTGTCCCTGGTCCGTGGCAAGCTGAGGGTTAAAACATTTCCACCTCCAGGAACTCCTCATGCCTGCTAGTCATTAACCCCCTCCCCCCCATCACCCACATCTCCCCGGAAACCCCCTACAGGCTTATGAAGACTCTTTGCCAGCAGGTGTTTGATTTCCCCTGGGGAGTAGGACTATAAACCCAGCAGGAAAAGTATTGTACTAGCTCCCGAAAAGGTCAGATGAGTGTTCTTCACTTTCCTTTGAGAAGCTTGAGGTTTCACTCCAACTCCCTTGCTGGTGGGAGATGAAAAGGCATATTCATAAAATTAGAAAATATAAACTATGGAGCTAGATTTGTGTTGTTTAGTATAGCCTGGTTCTTTGATAAATGCTGGTTTCGGCTCTGCATGATATATTTTTCCTTTTAGGAGGAAGAGGAGGACATGGACAGCTACCAGGTAATGAACCACGGGTTAACCTCATCAAATTAGCTTGATTAAAGTACTCAATTACAGGTTCTCGAGTCTTGCCATCCTGTTGCTTAATAATTACACAATTAGTTTTGATTCAAGTATTGCTTTTTCTCAAGTTTTGAAACAGAGTCGAGAACCACCATTTGTGACTGTTTCTCATTTTCCAAACCTGGGGCTTCCCATCCAGGTCCTTACAGACCCATTTCTTCAGATCCTTTTTCTGTTTGCCCGAAAGAGTGGTCTCAGACTGGGCTCCAGTCAAGCCACACCCTTAGGTGTCTTCCATACTTTAAGCCAGGTCCCCTTTTCCCATTTCTTGGAGTCATACAGATTTTCTTTCGTTTTCTCCTCCGCTTCATTCCCTACTCTCCTGCAATATTTTGTTTATGTCTGATAAGTTTTATTTTGCCAGTCTGGTTAGTCATCATCTAGAACTGTCAGAGCTCTTTGGATCCTGAATATGTCATCCAGTGTCGTCACCCTCATGATTTGGCCTCATTCTAATTGGATAAACATGTCTGCCTTCCTATAAGTCACTGATAAAAGCCTAGCATCAGAGAGGGTTAAATAGAGTCCTGTGGCACGGCTGAACAGACTTCTTTTAAGCTGATGTTACTCCATGAATCACTGTCCTTTGGATGTGATATTTCATTCGTCTGTAATTTCTCCCAAGTAGATCCATTGCATATTTCTCCATCTTGTCCACAAGAATGTCAGGAGTTATTTGGTTAAGTGCCTTAGTGAAACCCAGATACGCCGAGTCTGCTCAGCATTCCCCTGATCTACCCGTCTCGTAACTTTATTACAGAAGGAAATGAGGTAAGAAGGGCGCGTAGTCAGGTGTTGACTGGTAGTTTTTAGTCTGTTGATAACACACTCCCCTCCAGAATCCCACAGAAACAAGGAGAGAAGCGTTTACATGATATACAGAGACTGGTGGAACATGTTGAAGACTGTAGTTAAGAAATTTGAAAAGTTGTTTTGATGGTTCTAAAGGAAATAAATGTGAGGATTGTCAAGTAGTATTCGTGGTTTTTGTGGGATCTTAGTTCCCCAACCAGGGCCCGAACGTGCACTCCCTCCTTTGGAAGGTGGAATCTGAACCACCAGACCACTGGGAAGTCCCAGTACTTGTGACTTTTATCAGCACTTGTAGCTCTGCTGTACAGCGGCTTGAAGTTCTGTTCTGTCCTTTGAGCCAACGGGAATGAAACTGGTTCTGGATACCAGAGAAGGCCCTTTCAGGAATGGTCTTACCATAGGACACTAATCCTTTAATTTCTGAAAGTTTCTGTTCTTAAGAATGGCTGAAGTCAACTAATAGTGATGACAAAAATGTTAGGGTGTGGTACTTTACATGTTTGAAGCCTATTAGAGTAAGCTAAGATAGAGTTTCACATGTACTGTCTCGACGACATATTTACTCTAAGTTCCTCTGTTTACTTCCAGGATCGGGATTTAGAGAGACTCCGTAGAAAATGGCTAAATGCATTAACAAAACGTCAGGAGTATTTAGATCAACAACTGCAAAAGCTTGTCAGTAAACCTGGTACGAAAAGCAACCGGAACGTTTCCCTTTCCCCATATCAGAGTGTGGTTAATCCCTTGTTGGCCATCACAGAAAGGAAAAGTAGACAAACTCATCCATCATGGGAACCTCGAGGGCACAGGAATGGTGCTGATTTGTGTCACATCCTTTCAGTTCCAATGATGTCTTTGCATAGGTCTTCTTCCCCCTCAGTGACGAGGAATCAGCGTCTGTGCAGTAAGCGCTGTCCCACACACAGAACACAAGAGGCAAGCCTTTCTTGGTTTCTGGTCCAGAAGCCCTCGAACCTTCTGACTCTCAAGATCATTTCTCTTCTGTTCCTTTGTGGCCTTTGATGAACTGAAGGTGGCCTCTCAGTGAGCGCACACCAGCCCTGCTAGCCGATAGTCTGTATTTTATCATGAACTTTTCATCAGGAATTGGGGAAGTCATAAGTTGCTGGTGAACCCTCATCAGCCAGTACCTAGCATATACAGAGCGTATGCAGGAGGAGGAAGTGGACTACCTGTGTTTGATCTTGGTTCTAATGTTCTAGATAAAACAGAGGATGATGCCGACCGTGAAGCTCAGCTCCTAGAGATGAGGCTGACTCTGACAGAGGAGAGGAACGCAGTCATGGTCCCCTCGGCCGGCAGCGGGATTCCAGGGGCCCCAGCAGAATGGTATGGGTGCAGCCATCTGTCTTCCAAAGTTCTCTGTGCTCCCAGGGCTGCCCACCTCCGCTGTGGATGTTGCCTGTGCTTTGATGAATGGATGAGTCATAGTATATGGAAAAAAATTGTCTGAATTAGGGAAAGTGTTAAATTATTTTCATGAGTTGGAATAACTGTGCCCTAAAACTGTGTTTTATTAAGTAATATTGTTATTGGCCCAAGTAATTAAGATTTCTGAGAATCTAAATCAATATTTAGTGCCATCGCACTTAGCATTTAAAAAAAATAGTTAATATGTTAATTACTTGGGTCATTCCCTTAAAAGACGATTCACTCCTAATAAAATTGCGTCTCCAGGAGTTTTTGATTTTGGTGCTGGCCTAAACTTAACTGTCAGCAGATGTTCTGTGCCACTTTATAGAAATTAAAAATATCGAATTAAGCCACATGGGGCTCTTAGATATATAACTTTGTAAGAAGGTACGTTGAAACAAGGGAGCTTCACCTTCAGTTTTAAGCAGGTACATGTGTCTCCTGGGCTCTGGTATCAGAGTGTATGATAATCTACATGAGAGCACCGGAGAAAAGCAGCAGTGGTGATCGTCAGGTCTTGGCGGCATCTCTGATGTGAAATTATAGCAAACCCAGTACCCAGCGTTATTACTGATTGACCTCTAATAGCTCTTAATATATGAAAGCTGAGATACAAAGCATTGGGTTGGCCAAAAAGTTACTTTGGGTTTGTTATAACACCTTACGAAAACCCAAACAAACTTTTTGGCCAAGCCAATACATGCCACTGACAAAGGCTGCTTTGTTTGAGATTCTGTTGTTCATTATGTTTTAGGACCCCAGTTCCTGGGATGGAAACACACATTCCTGTCATATTCCTTGACTTAAATGGTAAGTGAGGAAGACCCTTCTGCAGGCTTTGCTCTGAAAACTTAATGTCAGAGTAACAGCTGTTGTTGTTTAGTCACTAAGTTAATGTCCAACTCTTTAGCGACCCCATGGACTGCAGCCCACCAGGCTCCTCTGTCCATGGGATTTCCCAGGCCAGAATAGTGGAGTGGTTTGCCATTTCCTTCTGCAGGGAATCTTGCCAACCCAGGGATTGAATCCATGTCTCCTGCATTGGCAGGCAGATTCTTTACCACTGAGCCTCTTGGGAAGCCCAAGTAACATTTAGATTCTGACCAGGTATGCAGATAGGCAGTTCTGCAGGCCTGAGGTTCAGGTCCACTTCATGTGTGCAAAAAGACTCTAATACCTCAACAGAGAATGAATTTCCTGTAAGCGTAATGTTTTTATAACAGTGATAGGTATGTTTCATTGTGATGTGTTCTCACATTTCATTCTCCAGCCCATATTGCCCCGTGTGCTGTATTCTCTCTTCAATTTAGGATGGTAGTAATGTTTTCCTGCACTTAATTCTCAGGAAGAGACTTCCCTCCGGAAATGACTAATAACTAGTGATGGTCGTGTAGCGTGTTTTCTTTTGTCTGGCGTCGTCTTAGCATTACCTAATGGATTTGTCACTTTTTTTGTGAGTTCTTTTGCCATCCATCCATGCATCGCTCTCCCCTACCCCGCACCTTTTAAAAATTACCCTCATTTTTTTCACCCTCGTGAAATATTTTGGATATGGCTATATTTTACATATATTCTGTCTGAGGAGAGAAACTGAAAATGAAAAGGTAGATTAAAGAGCTAAAAATAATTTAAAAGTCAGCATTTAAATGCCCAAGACATCTGCAGAATCGTGTATTAAAATGAACTGTCCTAAACAGACAAGCGTGGATGCGCTCCTAGTTCTCTTTCGCCCTGAGAGTGCGTTTCGGCATCTTTACTATTTGGCTTGGACTTACCTGGCGACTCAGCAGTAAAGAACCCACCTGCCAGTATGGAAACCCAGGTTCGATCCCTGGGTCGGGACGATCTCCTAGAGGAGGAAATGTCAACCCACTCCAGTATTCTTCCCTTGAAAACCCCATGGACAGGTGAAGTTGGCGGGCTGCAGTCCATGGGGTCACAGAGCCTGGTGGCTTAGCAGCTGAGCCACAGGCACCATTTGGCTTGCTTGGATGTGTGGGCGACTTGTATATTCACAAGGAGTCAGAGAGGAAGCCACTTCCGCTGTCTGTCTGCCCATCGGGGTTTTAAGGTCTTGCCACAGCACTCTACCCTGCATTGTTCTCTCGAGCCTTGGAGAATGAAGGCAACTCTGTCCTGTCCTTATATTAGGTTCCTAGATGGGTGAGGGGTGTGTATGTGTGTGCAGGAGGGCTGGAAAGTGGAAAAGAATAAGCTTAAAGATGACCTGGCAGTATGGATATTCCAAGACAGGAGCAGCACCCTGCTGAGCCTTATGTCTATTCTTTGTCCACGAAGCCCACGTCCTGGAAAAGAGACTTTTGATGCTCATCCCCAGGCTTAGATGGATGGGGAATTGGGAGGGCCAGGCTTGGACATGAGTAATCAGAGGACCACAGGGCAACCATTCCATTTCTAGCTCATGTAGCCAATAGATTTGTTTTGTTAAATTTACCTGTCAGATAATTAGAAATCACTCTCATTGTCATGTCTTCAGTGCACTGAAAGACCAGGGAATTGGGGCTATAATCCTATCCTTAACATTTATGGGTTGACCTTGAGTAACCTCTTGGGTTTCTTGGCTTCGATCGCCTTCCATGCAAAATAAGGCACGGAAGCAGGTGATTGGATTGAGATGATTTCTTGCGGCGTCTCCCATCTCTGAGATGTGTGAACTGTTTAATGGTCATCCTCTGTGTCATGTAAGATTTCAGAGCCAAAAGCAAATGAAATTTGAGGCAGGAGGATTCTGCTACTAAGCACATTGAAATGTAGCTGGTAGGGGTTATCCTTTAAAGTGATCTCTGTATTTAATGGAACTTCTCTGCTTTTAGCTGATGATTTCAGCTCTCAGGATAATCTCGATGACCCCGAAGCCAGTGGATGGGATGCTACCCTCGCTGGGGAAGAGGAGGACGAGTTCTTTGAGCTGCAGATCGTGAAACAGCATGACGGAGAGGTAAATGAAGTGTAACTCGGGAAGACTGGGTGAAAAGTAGTTCCTTTAACCTTTCCACAGGCCTTTGGGAACAGTCAGCAAAGTTATCATTTCAGTGCCTCCATTTCTCAAGAAATATAAATGAAAATCTTAATTGTGATTTCTGCAAAGAACGGAACCAGTTCCAGAAGGAAAGGACCAATCAGATTATGCCCATTCACTGTTATATGGCTCTTCCTGGTAAAGGATCTCTGTTAGTATTAGCAGTCCAGATCAGCAGTGGTCCACTCTTTGGGGAAATGCTCCTAATGTACATGAAGGTAAAACAGCACGATATTTGGCACTGACTTTGAAATGCTTTAGTAAAGACTTCTGAATAAGGGGAAAAAAGGAATAGATGAAGCCAGATGAAAATGTTTCAGTCTGAGTGATGGATATACACTGGGGGCTTAATTTCTAATTTTGAATATATTGGAAAAATGATGAAAGATTTTAAGGAAGGAAAGCCAGTGCAATACTCAGAAGGACATACCAATACTTCGTGTTATTCAAAGATGCAAAGCTTAAACTGGGGTATATTCTGTAAAAACAGTAAAACACTCTGTAAAACAGTGGGCCTGCACCCTTCTTTAAGAAGCCAGTGTCATGAATGGCAAAGAAAGGCTGGGAACCAGCCTAGATGAAAGTGAACTGAAAGGACAGGACAGCTGAATGTAGTTTGAGATCCCACATCAGAAGTGTTGAAACATCTGAGGATGGACCCTGTATTGTACAATAGTGTTCAGGTGTTACATTTCCTGAATATGATCATTGCTCTGTGGTTAAGTCAGAGGAGGTCCTTGCTCTTAAAAGATCCTTGCTGGGACTTCCCTGATGGTCCAGTGGTTCAGATCTTGCCTTCCAATGCAAAGGGTGGAGGTTTGATCCCTAGTCATGGACCTAAGAACCCACATGCCTCGGGGCCAAAAATCCAAAACATCAAACAGATGTAATGTTGTAACAAATTCAATAAAGTCTTTAGACTTGGCCCACATCAAAAAATCTTAAAAAAAAAAAAAAAGATACTTGCTGAAGTGTTCAAGGATAAAGAGTTACATGTCCGTAACTTACTCCAAAGTAATTCAGCAAAAAAAAACACCCCAAAACAACAGCAATACTGAATGTGTATGTGTGAGAAAGAGGAGAAAAGGGAAGATGTTCACAGTTGATGAATCTGTATGGGAGAAACACAGGAGTTCATTGTACTAAATTTACAGCTTTCCATTTGAGTATTTTTCAAAGTAAATACATTTTCACTGCCAACCAGGAACATCCTGCTCTGTACCCGCCCAGGTAGGTACCTGAGGCCACATCCCCAGGTTCCGTGGTCTCCCAGGTCATGCTGCAGGCAGCACTGCCCTCGTGACTGGTCTGTTCCCCTTCGGCCGAGCCAAGACGTTTCCTTGTGAGGTTCTGTGTTTTAGGAGGAGGAGGTGACTCCATCCTTTCCATCTTCTCTGCAGGTGAAAGCGGAAGCCTCCTGGGACTCGGCTGTGCATGGCTGCCCTCAGCTGAGTAAAGGCACCCCCATGGACGAGCGGGTGTTTCTCATCGTGCGGGTGACTGTCCAGCTCAGCCATCCAGCCGACATGCAGTTGGTATTGCGCAAGCGCATTTGTGTTAATGTTCACGGCCGGCAGGTGGGTCACTGATGCTCACTGAGGAAGCGACTTTGGGTCTGACGTAAGGGCGGGGGAGTGGAAGGATTGCTCTGGCCTCTGACCCCCAGGCTCTGTGGTGCTCTGAGCTTTTCTCCGCCAGGCGACTGTGGCTGTCCCGTGCCCGTGTTTGCTTCAGTCCCGGAGCCCGTTAGCCTGACCGCCTCCTAGATGGCACTGCACTGTTACCCTGAATCTTTATGACCCCACAGTCACAGCTCAGCCCTTCGTGTGGGTGCCATAGAGCCCTGTCAAGGCGAAGTTCACTGTTTTGTCTTTGACTTTCCATCTGGGTCTGACGAAATGAGAAGCTCACTGCCGATGAGCTGCTGTCTGTGCTCCTCACCCTTGGTTTTCCACGCTTTCCTTTCTTTTCTGCTGGTTCATGTATTTGGAGAGAGTCCTCTGCAGAGCTTTGGGGTGGAAAGATGAATGAGAAGTAGCCTGCACCCTTAAAGAGCCCGTGTCCACTGACCCGTGAGTGTGTAAACGGGCCTGTCTTCTGTGGTGGTGGCATGGCCGTGCAGGTGCTCGCCAGGGCAGAGGTGCTGGAGTAGTCGGGGAGGGCTTCGGAGAGGAGGGGACTTGGAGCTGCTCCGCTGCGGACGGGAGCGGTTGGCAGGCAGAGAAGGACTCGTTGGCTGCTCCCCAGAGAGGAGGAAATACACATGCAGAGATGATGAGGGAGGAAAGGGCGTGGCAGGCTTGGGGACCACGAGAAGCATAGTCTGATGGTCAGAGTGTTCTGTAGAGGCCGTGACCATGCCTGTCCACACAGTTGCAGAGAGATTATGAAGGACCTGGTGCCATATGAACCGGTTCAGTGGAAAACTTCTAGATAAGAATAGAAACCACTTCCCTTATTGGTTTTGCAAAGATAGGATTTGAGAGGTTGAGTCTAGGGATTCTTCTCAATATACTGGCTAAAACCAGACAGATGAAAGTAAATCTTCTCATTTAGAAGAGTACAGTCATGGTTGACAGAGTCCTAGATGTAATCTCTACCCCTAAAAATTAATCTTTAGTTCTAAATGTCACACTGATATCAATCTTTGAATGAAGACGGGCCGTAATGCTGTTAAAATTCAGCTCTTCGGCTTGGCACTCCAGCATCAGTACATATAGGTCATGGGGTAGCTGCCGATGTACGTGGTATGTCTCCCATTCACTCTTTTCTGAGAAATCTTTGAGGAATTGGAAAAAGACATGTTGCTTTTGGGGAGCATTTTGAAGAGTTATTTGCCATTTCAGAACTAGGGGTTCTGGCTGCCAGGTGCTGAGACTGACCTGGTTCAACCACCAGTCCCCCCCAGAAATTTTAATAGAAAGGAGTGTTGTGAACTCACCAAGTTTCTTCTGTTTTTTTTTGTTTTTGTTGTTCTAATTAAGTTTTAAAATTTGTAGATGTGAGAAGTTGCTGCACTCCCCCCTGGTTAAAATGATTTGATATCAAACTGAAATTCAGATGGTTCATTAACTAACATTTGCTTTTCTGTAGCGAGAGCAAGACTTCCTCTTGACCCTAATATATGCAAGTTAGCTTCAGTAATTCTGTACAATTGGTAGATGCCGGGGGATGGGGTGGGGAGTGGGGATGAGGACTTAGTATTTAATGGGGACAGAGTCTCAGCTTAGGAAGATGAAAAATTCGGGAGATGGATGATGGTAAGAGTTGTGCAACAATGTAAATATTGCACAGTGGCACTGAACTGTGCAGTTAAATATGGTTAAAATGGCACTTTTTATGTAACTTTTACCACATTTAAAAAACATTAAAAAAAAAATTTCATACAAATAGAAAACAGAAAAGTAAGATAATGGTGGCCCCCTCACCTCCTCCCACCACCCATTAAAAGAAAACAAACTGTAGCTGTACTTTGACCAGTGTAATTGGTGATGGTTCAGCCTTGGAAGGCTGGAGTCAAGAGTGAAGGGATGAAATATATGCATTCTAAGAGGCTCTTGCATTCTTAGATACTAACAATTTTTTAAAAATTAACTAAAGATCACTAAATTGTTATTAAGTTGGTGTGAAACCTACATGCAGTGATTTGGGTTTTGACTTAAATTGCAGATAATGTTTGTTTCCTTTTTGGCTAGAGTGAATAAGGTGTCTTTTATGCTGCCTCTTTGTTAATGAAAACTCAAGTTTTTGAGATGGGAAGCCATATCTTCTATTTTGTTTTTCTCTAGGGTTTTGCTCAGAGTCTTCTCAAAAAGATGTCACATCGAAGTTCTATTCCAGGCTGTGGAGTGACTTTTGAAATTGTCTCCAATATTCCAGAGGTGAAGGATCATATGAAATTTGAATTTACTAAGAATAAACATGTAAAAAGAGCTAACTCCCTGAAAAGTCACGTACCTAAGAAATACCTATCAAATGAAAATGTGTGTATACAAAAATGCTATAGGCTTGTAGAGGAATTTTGTAATGGTAACTTGATTCATACTAAAATGTGTGTGCATATGTAATACTTCTGTGGGCTTAAAGGTTCTGGTTTTAGTCTTTTGTTAAAGAGGAGTCTTTTGAAAAGCAAATCAGCACCATTTTACCCACAGAAGAGGATATAACCCTTAAAGGGAGACAGCACAGCATAATACAGAGTTCCAGGGTATCATATTGGAATCAGACAGAAATCTTGTTTCTGTCACCTCTTAGTAAAGTGAACTTGGGTAAGTTACTTTGAGCCTAAGTTTTTTCGTTTATCAAACTGGGTTAGTAATACCTCCTATACAGAGTTGTTTTTTAAGGATTAAATGAGACAAGATATACAAATTGTATACATGCTAAAGAGTAAATTGTAATTGCTATTATAGTTAGCAATAGTATTACTATTAAATACTAATGGGGTAGCATTAAAAAAATTTTTATTTTTAAATTAATTATTAATTACTATTAAATACTAATAAATAGTATTTATTACTGTTTTTCTTTTTGAGCTAATTGCATAGAAATCAAACAAATGGAGCTGAAAATACCCGTGACAGGCACTTGCTAGGGAATGTAGTTTATATGCTTCCGAATACTTATTCCCTGATTTAGACAGATTTGTTCAGCCGGTTATTGGCACAGCTAGGAACCAGGCCTTCCTTACCAGGCTAGGAGAGGCGAGGGGTCTAGGGAAAGGACTCTGTGACAAAGTGAAGGAGAGTGGTTCCTTCCGCCATGTTGACTACAGAGAATTTGGCAGAGATTGAGGAGGTCTAGGCTGTGCTGCTGTTGGGGGTGGAAAATGGGAATGGGACCCTGGGGCGAGGACTCCCACCTAAACACACTGTCCACCATGCCTTCATACTCTTCATTCAGGGCCTCAGTGTCTGTCGATCGATTCTGTTGAGTATTTGAACAATAGATGGACAGTACATATTGGAAGACAGATCAGGTTTTGGAAGACTGAGAAGATTACACAGTATTTGGGCTTCGTTTTAGAGTTCTTTTATTGCAAAACACTTTTGCTCTCAAATAATGTCAAATAATGGCTAAATTCTTCCCTGGCTCTTCAAAGTATCAGGCTTACAAGGCAGATATTAACTGTTTGACTATTTAATTTTGAACCTGCCGAAACTTTAAAAATTGAACTCCTTTTCGAGTTAGACTAGCTGCAGAATCTTGGGTCTGTAATAGGTTGCTCTGTGTATGCTTGTAGCCAGAGGTTTACTGTTTATTCTCTGTATCTCAATGCTTTCTCTCTTTTTCCAGTTGTTTTAGATCTTAACTCTATAAATAGTTTGAATGCAGTTGAGAAACACAACTGCAATGAACCATCCTTTTCTCCCTTCATCTTTCTTCCCCTCCTTCCTTCTCATTTGCTGTTTTCTTTTTCTCTTTCCCAGGGCTTTTATTCTTCAGGCAACATGGTTTTCAAATGGCAAAAGCGTGTAGTAATCAGCGGAAAGATAAACAGACAGCCTCACGTGATGGGGCTACCTGTTAATAATTCACAAAACGACTAAGTTGGCAGGTGTTAGGGTCACATTATCAATTCCTAATGATAAAAAGGAAAAATGAGACTTAAAGCCTACAGTGTAAGGATTTGTTTTTTATTTCAAAATAAGCTTCTTAAAAGCTGTGTTTCATCATGAAGAAGCCTGGAAAAGTTCTTTATGTTTCATGTTACAGAGGCCATGAGGACTCAGTAGCAAAAAAAAAGTGGTCATAGACCAGNATTTTTTTTTTTTTTTTTTTTTTTTTGGTTAATAGCAGCTAGAATGCTTTCATTGCTAATGGGGGTATAAAATGATACATTCACTGGCAGTTTATTATCAAGTTAAATAGAATACCCCATCACTCAGTAATTCCACTTATAGGCCCTTACCCAAGAGAAATGAAAACATACATCCATAAAGATTTACGTAAGAATATTCAAAGCTGCTTAATTCAAAACAACCTAAAGCTGGAAACAACCCAGACATCCATCAGCGAAGGAATGGGTAAATAAATTATGGTGTATCCATACTGTGGAGTAGTACTCAGCCGTACACAGTAATGAACTACATGATGACCAAATCTCTGAGTCACTATGTTAAGTGATCAGCCAGATGCAGAAGGGTATCATTCCGTTTTTGTGAACTTCTAAAACAGGAAGAACTAATCTGTGATGAAAGAACTGATCTTTCCTTAGGGGAGGGAAGGAGTTGAACTTTGTGAAGTAATGGAAATGTTTTATATCTTGAGAGGGATGTGGATAACATGGGTAAATACATTTCTTTAAAACTCAGGTATCTTCTCTCTCAGAAAACTAAGATATGTCTGTTCCCATCAGATACCATCAAGTATTCCATGTCCAGTGGTGAAAAGAATACTCCCATCAGGAGTCAGGAGACCAAAATTCTAGTCCTGCCTCTCTTGCTAATTATGTGGCCTTCCTTTTTCCTTGTCTGTAAAATGAGGATGGTTCCTAGACCCAAATGAATTACTGTAGAAGACAAAAGTTTTGTGAACTTAAGCTGTCTTCTGAATTTTTCCATATCTTATCTGTTCTAAGGCTTAGGTTAATTTAAAGAAAAATATTCCTGAACTTAGACTGTGTTTTAAAATTGATGCTGTCTTAAAGTTAATTGGCCGAGTTTTTTTTTTTTTCCTTCTTAGTAATATATAAAATGATTTTCTCTTAAAGTTCATGGCATCTTAAGATGCAGTGCATTTGGATACATTCAGTTCAGTTCAGTTGAGTCGCTCAGTTGTGTTTGACTCTTTGCGACCCCATGAACCGCAGTACGCCAGGCTTCCCTGTCCATCACCAATTCCCAGAGCTTCCTCAAACTCATGTCCATTGAGTCAGTGATGCTGTCCAACCATCTCATTCTCTGTCGTCCCCTTCTCCTGTCTTCAGTCTTTCCCAGCGTCAGGATCTTCTCCAGTGAATCAGTTCTTCACATCAGTTGTCCAAAGTATTGGAGTTTCAGTTTCAGCATCAGTCCTTCCAATGAATACTCAGGGCTGATTTCCTTTAGGATTGACTTATTTGATCTCCTTGCAGTCCAAAGGACTTTCAAATGAGTCTTCTCCAATACCACAGTTCGAAAGCATAAATTCTTCGGCCCTCAGTTTTCTGTATAGTCCAACTCTCACATCCATACATGATTACTGGAAAAACCATAGCTTTGACTAGACAGACCTTTGTTGGCAAAGTAATGTCTCTGCTTTTTAATATGCTGTCTACGTTGGTCATAGCTTTTCTTCCAAGGAGTAAGCGTCTTTTAATTTCATGGCTGCAGTCACCATCTGCAGTGATTTTGGAGCCCAAAAAAATAAAGTCAGGCACCGTTTCCACTGTCTCCCCATCTACTTCCCATGAGGTGATGGGACCAGATGCCATGATCTTGGTTTTCTGAATGTTGAGCTTTAAGCCAACTTTTTCACTCTCCTCTTTCACTTTCATCAA